TATTTTTTTTAGATTTAAACAAATATCAAAGTGTGACACATGTTTCTACATGCATTTTTCAAGGGCTTTTTAAAAATATAATTTTTTGATCTGTAGCTTTAGTCAAGAATGTAAGGCAAGGAAAGTCAATTGTGTATACTCTGCGTACATATTGAAACCAGTTCCTTTTGGGCGGAATTTGTAAACAATAATAGATGCATCAGTGTTCGTTTAGTATCCGAGGAGGGGGGTTCAATGGAGAATTTACTTCTCCTTAGTACTGTCTGTGAAAACATTTATTTGGAGGGTAAGTGATTAAAAAAAAATATCAATCGTCCAATCTTTTAAATATTCATGCTCATCATCTCATTATTTGATTTTTCTGTGCAAATTCAAGTTTTCTTCTCCGTTTAATTGTAAAATTTTCTATGGTTTTGGGGCTTTTTCTTAATTATAATTATGATGCCTACAGAGGCTATTCTGAAGATAGACCAGACCTGGCCAAAACTCGTAGTGGACCTTTTTGTTAAAATACGCTTTTTTCAACGTTTAAGAGTTTTGAACTCTCAGCTCAAGGAAAAACACAAAACCAATTGTGAAAGAAATTTGAAGCAAAAAGCTCAGTTTATTTTTTGTATCAATTTGTCTAAATATAATGCATTTATTGTTTTATTTTCTTCAGTATAGTATGACTATATGTTGGTAGGCGATTATATTAATAAAATAAAGACTACTTTTTATTTAAGTTTGTATTGTTAAGAAGCTTTTTTGAAGTACAAAGTTACTAGTAATTTAAGTGCCACTTGTTTAATTTTATGTTTTTGTGTATCCATGCTGTTTAAAAGCTGGATATAAATCAAAATTAAAATCGAAAGTTGTCTTCATGATATTGATATAATCGCCTACCACCGTAAAGTGAAGCCTAAAGCAAGATGATTTTCATCGATGCTTTCCTTTTAAGTATTGAACGAATTGAACCATTCTTTACCCAAAAACGACCGTAATATAGTTTATAGCTGATAGTTTATTTCTGTTCTTGAGATTTTTTTTCAACAAAAAAGGCGTTGTGATCCAATTTGTACATTTATTGAGTCTCATTGTTAAATAATTAAAAATGCAGAAGTTTTTCCACAACCTTAGTAAAATATTACAATTGAATAACTTAAAGTTTTTTTTTAAATTTTGATAATTTATGTTATAAATTCCTATGACCAGAATATATCATTGATTTTTTATTTGAAAGATGGATCCCATGTCAGGCTGTGACACCCCTACTCTTGTGTTTCCATTAGACTTTCCTTGCCTTACATTCATTGGCTTTAGTCACAATAAAATTAGGTGCTATGGAAACGCCTGAACACGGGAAACGAACCCAAAAGTGAGTTTGGGTCCGTTTTTTCTTTTTTCAAGAATTATCGGAAATCCCTCAAAAACTGAAAAGTGTTGAGGGATTTCCGTATATTTTGGATTGGTTTCCGCTGTATAAATACATTTGAGTCGTTTCCCCTTTGTTTTGGGTCCGTTTCCTCTTTGTTTTGGGTCCGTTTCAAGTTTTTAAAAAAAGTTTTAAATTCTCAGTTTGTTGATCGGTTTCCTTTTTTTTAATGAATTCAAACCTCATTTTTATCAAATGGAACTGAATCTATGTTTCTAAGATAAGATTTTTTTTAATTGGCAGAGTCCTTGTGAACTTTAAAAACCCCCCGAAAAGTATGCAAAATATTTTTTTAATGTTTTTTTAACAGAAGTTAGGTATGCTTGAAAATTAAAAAAATTGGGTATTGATTCTCGTATTTCTAATTAAGTTAAATATCGTAAACAAACGGAAATAGTCATTCTTGAAAAAAAACCGAACAGATGTGTTTAATAAAAACAGTGACTTTCCTTCTCTTGTCTTCTTAAAATTTTGCAGAAAATATAAGAAATATTTTGTTTCGTATTTTAAGATGTTGACAAATGTCATCTTCTGTTTTTTTAACGTTTATTAGTTAAAAAACAAAATTTTATGTGTGTTAATGTTGTTTTATGCGTGATTTGAGGTTTTTAAAACATGTCTTTGTCCAACTATTTTTACATGAAGTAATCGTTAACGGCTCGTTAACGGCTGGCCCCAGTAACTATTTCTAAATATCTTATGTTTACGTCGTTAATAATATTGAGGTCGTTAACGAATGGTAACTTTTAAAAATAAAGAAAATATCATGAAAAAAAACGTCTCCTCCCCTTTCTAGCCAACCCCCCCCCCCACCGCGCCCCCCATCTTCATGCGTATTGCGTACACTAACTAGATTACGCGTGCGTCTCCTTCGAGCGTCATCTCAAGATGCGTATTATACCAAAAATGCTTCAGTACAACCATGGCTTTTAACAAGGTAACATCCTACGTTTTGTCTACAATTGGTCTTTGCATTTTATGCATTTTCGTGACCTAAGTCTATTTTTATCATATTGTTACCAAGTAAGCGAATTTGATATAATTAGCATAACAAACAAACTAAATACAATAAACAACGTGTTGAAGGCTAGGGAACATACAAAACTTAAAAAAGAGAATAATTGAATATAAAAATATTCCATCTTGCTTATGTTTTTATCTCTGCAATAGTAAATTTTGATAATTTTATAAAGTATGTATTAGCTTGGGAACCCAGCGCTGTCCAGGTTACTAAAAGTTACTCCTGCCGATTACCCGCACTTGAACGATTTTACTGGGTAACTAAATTTTCGATATTTAAGTCGAACCACTCAACTTAGAATCTTAAGACCAAGCAAAGAACATTCTAGTGGGCCTTCCGAGTTCCCCAATCAAAATTTGGGGCGTATCGGTGCAGGAGTTCCTGAGTTATGATCGGACAAACAAATGAAACAAACGAACAAACAGAGATTACAACTTTATATATATATAGAAGATAAATAAAGTTGTAATCTCTGTTTGTCTGTCCGTTTGTTTGTACGATCATAACTCATGCAGGAACCCCTGGACCCATGTGCTTCAAATTTAGATTCGGGAGAGTCACATTGATTTGGTGGACTTTAATTTGGAAAATAGATAACATCGTAATTTAAGACAAAGTGCGGGTAATCGGTGGGACTAACTATAGACGCTGGGTTCCCAAGCTAGTATGTATAGATATATAAATTATTATTTGAATTATATTTAAAGATCTTGACTTGTGCCTTACTAGGAGCTGTAGCTGGACAAAATTCCAGGTGCGTAGAAAAAAAACTCCTAAAAAATTGTTTATTAATAATTAATTTTATCAATAATTTTATCTTTGTTTATAAATAATGTGCACTGCATGAATATGGAAAAAACCTAAACGTCGGTTTTATTCCTTTACTTTTTTCTCCTTGCAGTTCATAAGTGCATAAGTTCATAAGTTCATGAGTTCATAAGTTCATATCGTCATTATAGGTCTTTATTAAAGTCTCCTCGTTTGTATAGTATAATAATACTAGCCTTATAGGGCGCTTCGCGCCCATCTTCTAAATTAATTGTGAACATGTTCTCTTTCTGTACATCGTAAAACAAAACAAAAATAATTCGCCGATTTTCACAAAAAATTTCGCGGATTTTCAAAATTTTCAAACATTTAATGACGATCGAATTTTGATGGAGACAAATATTTGAAATTTTGATCATTCATAATTTAAAATTTCAATCATTCATAAACCTTCCCTGGGGTCCCTAGATGTCCCACACAAAATTTGGGCCCGATCGGTTCAGCCGTTTTGACGTTTATTGGATACAAACAAACAGACAGACAAACAACCAAACAGACAGACAAGCCAAATTTATATATAGATTTGTTTTTGTTAATTTTAGGACGTTCCCTGGTTTCAGTTTGTTTTCAAATGATATTCAACCAACGGTATCAACAACCCCTATTCCTATTCTAAAGTAAGTTTAATCATATTCTCTAATTCAAAAATATTCCAAATTGCCAAAACGCGGATTTTCATCCCAATGTCATAGACCTTAGGACAGATATTTTTTTGATTCTATTAGATCAAAAAACTAAGTTTCAAATATGAAAGGTTTATATCATCAGGCTTGAACAGATTTAGGGATTAGAAAATTTTAGTTTCTGCCACAGACTCAATTCTTTTGGATATTTAAAATTGTATCATAAAATCAAATCAACTTCGCAAAAGACGTCATATTTGATGCGTTTCTGCGTAACTAGTAATTACGACTTTGCATCAAACTTTTCAAACCAAATTCAGACCTTAGATATTTCAAACAGTTAATAAATCAAATAATCTTGGTTAGAAATAACAAAGTTGTGAACCATAAGGTTACAAAGTTATAGGGATTTGTTGAAAAGACTTCACTCCTTTATTTCCAATTGGACTGTTCCACCTTAGCCGCTTAGTTCAAGCTAATCGCTTTCCTATTCAACAGTTTTGCCCTTTGTTCGAATAATTACTACAGAAAAATGATTTATTTAAATGGCCTCTATCGGAAATAAAAGTATTTAGGCAGTTGAACAAAATAACTCATTTAACTTTTTTTAAAATCCTATATTTGCCCTTTAATCAAATAGAAGAACAATGGTACATTATACCTTTAACTTAACAGTGAAATCGTTGATATTGACCCTTTAAGAAATAGAAAAATCGTAGATTACCCCTTTATAAAACATGTCTTTAGATATATTGATGAACATAACACAGATGGTACATACACCTACGGATACCAGGTTAACAGAAAAAAACATAAAAAATAGTAATTTTTTTAAAAATTTGTCCAATTTTTTTCCTTTGATCAGTCAAAGGTTTAAAGGGTACAATTGTGGAAAAAGGGGATGAAAGGTCACTAGAAATGACGCTTACTGTCCCTTTAAAACTAATTTTTAAATTTTTATTTCAGTCCGCGGATGGAACTTACAAAATCGAATCCAGATTTTTGAATGGTAAGAACTTTTGAAAAAATCCGATAAAATAATATAAAAATTCTTCTGAAAACAATGAAAACCATTTTTTTCTTCAAAAATGGAACTTTTACTTGTTTCTTCATCGTTAACTTAATACCTTTTAAAATTTCTTTTGAAATGATTATAATTTCAGAGCTTGGTTTTGTTCCCGTTATTGACGGAGTAAAGCACGCTCCCCAGGACAGTGAGCTCAGCAATCTAGTTGAACAACCCACCCCTGTACGCGCACCAGTTGCCCGGCCAAGAACCGATCTTCCGGCCAGCCGATTTAACAACTTCCGGCCGAATGAAATCAGAACCGACGATACAGACGTTAAGGAAAGCAAATTTAAAAGAAAAATATTTGAATTATAAAAATGTTAGAAAAAATTAACTTTTTAATTTCACGTAACCTTTAGCTCGATTCACAAAAATGTTTATAGAGATAATTGTGAATATCTTATGCATGATCTTAATCTGACAAAGCTTCCGAGGATTCCGTTGTGAATCGGACAGGCAGGCCCTTTGTCAATTGTGATTTACTTAAGATTACGTCTATATATAGGCCTTTTTAATCTAAGAACCCCCCCTGACCCTGATATTTTTTGCAAATACCTGTTCCTATACCCTCCTAGTATTTAGCAACCAAATCTTGCACAGATTACCAGTATGCAATACTTTTTGCAATCTTAACTTTCAGGGGTTAAAAATCCTCAAATACATTTTTAATAAAAACAATAATTTTTTGTCTTAATGTATGATTATGTACAAGTTTTACAAGGCTCCTGGTCAGGATAATAGCTACAAATTATAACAAGTTACCCCCCCCCCTCCAGCTTGCTTCAAGGTTAATAATGATGTTGGAATTATGACAGTCCCTCCCCTCTATAATTTTCCTCCCTCCTCCCACCCTCCCCTCTATTTCCCTCCCACCTAAAGCATTTTTAAAATACCATGGGAAAAATATTTAAAAACAATAGTTTATTGTGAATTGTGAACGTAAATAACAATTCAAATTCCATTTGACCCCCCCCCCCCTCTATAGCTAAAATGTTACCTACGACAAAAAAATATACAGGTCTTGTGCTAAATTAATGCTCATATGAAAAATGCTAATTTTTGCGGTTTTACTATTGAGAATTATTCATTTAACCCAATCTTTTAAATTACAAAAAAAGTTTTTTTTCAGTTTAATCTAAATTAATTGAAACCAAACCAAACTTCTAAAATTTGCTTAAATTAGGTAATCAACGGTAGGCGGGCAGTTCTCCGTAAGAGAATAAGGTAAGGACTCAGTGTGCACGTGTAAAGTTTATGGTTCTGTGAAGCACACCTGCAGCTAGTTTTTAAACATCCAAATTTGAAATATCAATTTTCAGATCAGGTTCAATATGATAAATCATTCATAGCGCTGTGAAATGTAATAATGCATTTAGGAAGTAATATCTAGAAGCTATTTATTTAAAATATAACACGACATTTCCAGATTCACAGGAGTACTCTTTATAGCTTTACCCGAGGAACCAAGAGACCAGGGGAAATATATCTTCATTTTTCCCTCTTAAAAACGTGTTAACTTCTAAAATTTCGATTTTTGTCTTAGCCACATAAAATCCACAAGAAATTAAAAGAAATTAAAAATAATCAAAACAAAATTCTGAACATTGACATCAATTCTGAGGTATTGGAGTACTCAAGTATTAATCGTTTTAAGATGCATTGCAGACTATTTCTAAATTATCATGTTTACACCTGGGGTTATAAAAATGTATGTTTTTGTCTTTATTGCGTACCTTTCATACATTCTGACAGTTAGATAAAATTGAAAATAACTTTGTCTTATTCACACTGCATATTATGTTTCTTCAGTATTTCAATAAACAAACCTTTTTTGTGATTAACTCACAAAAATTGAGTATAATTTTGTATTGTTCACAATTTATGTTTCAGTATTTCTTTCAACAAACCTTTTTTGTGGTTAAAAACCCCGTAAAAGGCGCTTAAAAGGACTAAAAGTGTTTATTCGCAGACGGTTTTACGTTGTAACGAAATTTCAATGTTTATTAGGACATGTTATTTTCCATGTTTATTGGGAAATGTTAATTTCCATGTTTATTGGGAAATGTGAATTTCCATGTTTATTGTGCATGTTATTTTCCATGTTTATTGGGTCATGTTAATTTCCATGTTTATTGGGACATGTTAATTTCCATGTTTATTGGTACACCTTGGGTCAAAAAAATGTATATTTAATACTTAAAATGTGAAATTTTTAAAATTGAATATAATTTCGTCTGGTTTGGTTTCAGTATTTCTATTAACAACCCTTTTTTGTGGTTAAAAGTGCCGTAAACGGTGTTTAATATGTCTGAACTTGGGAATCAGGATTGGTCAAGCTTGGCTGAAGAATGGATAGATAGATAAATAAAAGAAATAGAGGGATAGATAGATAGATAAATTGATAGATAGATAGATAAAGGGCACAACGCCCCTGGTCATTCTTGGCATTAGAATTCTTAACAAAAGAATTTTAAAAAATCTTAAAAACAAATCTAAATTCATGTCTTACGCCCCCCTCCCCTTTGCACAGAGGTAAAGTATTGACAACATTTAATCTGAAATAATTTGTAAAATTGCAGAACATTTTGGACTTGATAAAATAGTACTTTTGTATTTTTAGTGACATGTTTAAAATCAGCTGAGGAAAATTTCCCCAATTTCAAATTTGTGTCGCCTTTTTATTATAATTACTTCAATATAATAAAGACGACTTTCGATTTAAATTTTGATTTATATCAAACTTTTAAACAGTGGATACACAAAAACAATAAAACAATGAGAAGCTGTCAATTAAACTCGAAAAAAGCTTGTTAAAATTGAAATAAAAGTCGTCTTTTGTTATTGGTAAAATCGCCTACCACCGTACACCACGACTCAGAAGATAAACGTTAGAAAAAAGCTGTACAGAAGATATTCAGTCTTTTTTTTTAACTTAACAGTCATCTTTTTTGAATATTACTAGTTATCAAGTGACATTATTTAAATGATATATAACATGGATGAAATGAAAATCTTCTTTCTAATAATGGTTCCTTGCTCCCTTGCTTATATTTGTGAACAATTCATTTGAATTTCTGGATTCTGTGGATATATGACTAATAACTATTTGCTGCCTACTATAACCCTTTACCCTCCTCTAAGCCTGTACAACCCGTTAAAACACATTCCTGAAATTATAAACTAGATCTTGTTCAATAAATTACTGAGGCATATTTAGGCCTTCAAGCAATTCTGCTTTAATACTTGAACACAAGGTTGGAGAAAAAGACAACATGTCAAAAAACTGTCTGATTATTTTAATAATTTCATTTTTAAAATATTGTTTCCATTCCATATTTATAATCCACATAGATTGTTATAAAATTTCTAGAAATACCTTTTATCGAAAAACATTTTTTTAAGATACATAATTGAAATTAATTTGTTGGTGCTGTTTTTCGTTTCTGATTTTCATCGTTAAAAAAAAATCTAACGATTTTTTAAAAAGTTACGAATCCCTATAGCCTTAGCAATCATTGCCATTTTAGTCAAATAAATGTAATTTTGAACAATCTGTAAAAATATTTTCACATTATTTTTGGCAAACCAACCCCCTCTCAATATGCGGTTAAAATATCCAACCAAAGTTAATAAAAAGATTTAAAATGCATGGTTACAATTCCATAGAGCGTTAAAATGCATTTACTACAGGGTGTCCCAATAAACATGGGAATTCAGTGATGAATTCGATATCGTCTTTTTAAATAATTCTTTGATTTAGTATAGTGATACCTACTGAGAAAGCTGTAATCTGTAAGAATTTCGTCTGCTATGTTCACAATTTGTTTGATTATGTTTTGACTGCGGTTGTACTTTGTAAAACAAGAAAATTACAGTACACAAACAGAGTAAGCTTGTCCGTAAACTTCATAACAAAGACGATATCGAATTCGTCACTGAATTCCCATGTTTATCGGGACACCCTGTATAATAAATTTGTCTTATTAGGGTTGGAGTCAAACAATAATTTCTGATTTAGAAGTATTGTTTAAGAGACAATAATGTCACAAACTAAAGGGACTGTAAACGTAATTTAACAACGGGTTTTCTCCACAAAAGTGATTTGCGTATTTCTTGGTCTAAAAAAAGTCATATGGAGGAAATCGTCAAAAAACTCTTTTTAAGCTTGGAAACTTTAATATCATCCACATTATTGATCGGATAAAGGTTTCAAGGGTTGCAGTTGTAAAGCGTGTATGTCTCTCTTTTTAAATGGAATGTTACTTTAGATATTAAAAAAAGCGTTTATAGTTTCTTTAAAGAGTATTTTTTTAATATTACTATTTTACTAGTTTATAATTTAGACACAAACTTTTGTAATTATTATTAAAAATTTAGGACTGATGCTATAAATAGCAGCCAAGTCCAGGAGCAGCAGTTCCAAGAAGAGCAGCAAAATGAAGATAACCAGGAGCTGTCTCGCGAGGAGCAACTGAGAGCTCGCCAGGAGGGATTAAAGGTTTGGGAGCAGCAAAGAGCTGCTTTAGTTCAGCTTCAGCAGCTGCAACAAAGGCAGCAGCCAGCTTCTAGAGCATCTGTCAGGTTTGTAACTTTGTACCTTTGATCAACCTGTTCTAGCAGGAAACCAGCATAATATCATGAAAATCGTAATTCAATGATGTAAAAAAACTAAAAATCTAATTTTTTAACTGAGTTTACATTTAAAATCATATTTCTGAAACTGCCGTATCTATCGCCCAATTTTAGAAACATAGTATCCTCAGATAAGAAGGTATTTCTAAAACTCTTATACTTCAAATTTAAAATCTGAAAAGATCCCAAAAACATCTTAAATTGTAGATCTGAAAGCAGCCGAGGATTCAACGCCTTCCAACCTGCTGCTGCAGCAGCTGCACAAGAAACTTTCAGAAGCTTCCCTGATCCATATGTTACAGGTTTAACAAAACAATTTTAAACATCTTGTACAAAAATTCGAGGAACAAATATACATAAATTTTTTATAAAGCTCACAAATATTATAGTAATAGTTTGTATGTCCGATCGTAACTCATGAAATCGTAGACCGATTTGCCTCAAATTTGTATTGGTAGATTTGGGGGTACCATAGTTGGTTGGGTTGACTTTAATAGAGAATGATTTGTTTTCAGGCTGGGTTTCCAATCGGGTTAAAAAAAACTCGATGAAGTTATTTTTGCATTTTGAAAATTAACATTTTAAAGTACATATGTAATATTATTTTTCTAGGAGTGAATCTTGACTCTGGATCTTACACAATCAACTACTGAAAACACTTCTTAAAAACACTGCCCATCCTTCAAGAAGCCACTAGTCCTTAAAAGCTATATTAGTTTCGGCTTTGTTACCGTACTGTTGAATATCATTTTAACGACAAAATAAATATGAAAATTTATTTTACTTTTATTAGACATACAATTCAATTCGTTCGAAAAACATGCGAGAATTTTAGTTTTAAGTTTCACGCTACAGTTCAATTAAAATAACAAAAAGGACACTTATAGATGTCGTCTTTTCAAGATTTTTAAGTATTTCGTTCACAATAACCTTGAGACAGAAGCCCAAAGGAGTAACGCGTAGTCGGCAAGGAAAGGCTCCCTCTCTCTTGTCTTGGAATTCAACAGAAATCCCAAGACTAGGAATTTTCAAATTTAAATGGATTACCACAAATACTATCTGTGATTGAGAAAAAATGCCCTTTATATCACAAAATATCTACAAGTTATTACTTATCTCCCTTTTTTGGGTTCTTCTAAATTTTAATACGAAACGAAATACTTGTTCTCGTTCATTAAAAAAGAGAATTACCCTCTGTTGGTTTTAGGATATCTAAGAATCACTTACTAAACTACATCGAACTAACCCTGCAAACATTTAGTCTCCCACAAACCGATGGCGAACAAATAAAGTCCAGAATTATTTACCCGCCACCTTCGCCATCGGCACATGAAGTCGGTAAAAATGTTTTCTGGGTAAATCAACAAAAAATATATATATAGCATTATAGTTATAAAGAATATAAGAACCACACTGTGAAATACTAGTACATGCATAAAAATATTCAAGATATATCTTATTCTTTACATGTCCTGCAGTGAAGACTAATAATAATATGCTAATCCTGATAACCATATCTGGTGAAATTTTAAAAAGGTTTGAAGCTTTGACATGTGTGTCATGATCTCACTTTGGGTTTGCTTAGGTTTTTTAAAACTCATGGCTCTGTTCAATAACAGCCTTTAGTCTTTCCAGATACCTATCTTGCAACAGCAGGTATCCCCTTAAAAAACTTTAATGTGTCCAGGCACTTTTGGAGTAGAATGAACTTTTGGTTTTTACTGTACTTCAGGTGTTCCGCGTACTTGGGGTAATTCAGGGGGTTTTCCAGATTTTTTAGATAAAAATCCTTCAAAAGGTTTGGAATTCATGTCAAGAACTTTAGGCACTTCCTGGACTACAGAATTTAAGGAAGGCAGACAGGCTACATTTGTGCTACTCAACGACTTCAGTGGCAGAGTTGGGAGTACTGGTTACATTGAGGCACAATTGTTAGGATTATTGGTTACATCAGAGACACAGTTGTTAGGATTATCGGTTACATTAGAGTCATAACTGTTAGGATTATTGGTTACATTAATGGCAGAATTGTTAGGATTATCGGTTACATTAGAGGCAGAGGCATGTGGAGTTTCAGATACATGAGAGGCAGAGGCGTTTTGAGTTTCAGTCACATTAGAGGCGTTTGGAATATCAGTTTCATTAGAGGTAGAGCCGCTTGGAGTATGAGATACTTTAGAGGCAGAGTTGTTTTGGGTATCGCTTACATTAGAGGCAGAGGCGTTTTGAGTAACAGTTACACTAGAGGCGTTGTGAGTATAAGTTACATTAGAGGCACAGCCATTTGGAGTATCAGATACATCAGAGGCAGAGGCGTTTTGAGTATCAATTACAGAAGCGGTAGAGTCATTTGGAGCATCAGTTACATTAGAGGCAGGGGCGTTTGGAATGTCACTTACATTAAAGGCAGAGGCGTTTGTAATATCAGTTACATTAGAGGCAGGGTCCTTAAAAGTATTTGCACACAAGGTGGGGTTGTTTGAAGTAGAAATAGGAATAAAATTTGAAGTTGAACAGAAGGTATAATGAAGGCTTGCACTATGGGTTGAAGGAGGGATTGTACCAGAGGTTGTTGATAAACTTCCACCTAAAGTTGTTGAAGGGGTTGCACCAAAGGCATAGCGAGGGGTTGCACTAGAGTTGCAAGGAGATATTGTACTGGAGGTTGTTGATGGACTTCCACCTAAAGTTGCTGAAAGGGTTGCACCAAAGGTATAACAAGGGCTTGCGCTAGAGTTGCCAGGAGAGATTGTACCAGAGGTTGTTGATGGACTTTCATCTAAAGTTGCTGAAAGGGTTGCACCAAAGATATAACCAGGGGTTGCACTAGAGTTGCCAGGAGAGATTGTACCAGAGGTTGTTGATGGACTTCCACCTAAAGTTGCTGAAGGGGTTGCACCAAAGGTATAACGAGATGTTGCACCAGAGTTGCCAGGAGAGATTGTACCAGAGGTTGTTGATGGGCCTCCACCTAAAGTTGCTGAAGAGGTTGCCCCAAAGGAGTTTGTGACAGCAGAAGGAAATAGTGACAAAGAAGCTCTAGAGATGGTTGTGCCCAATGGTGTTGCATCAGCTGATAATCGAATAGCCTTTGCAATTGGTTGCAAGTACTGATCAGACAAAGTTGCCACAGATGCAGTTGCAACTATTTCACCCTTGACCAATGGAAGGATTTGTTGTTTTGAACCAATAGGACTTTCGGAGCTTCCAACAGATTGAACACAGACAGGACTACAAAAGCTACTTCCAGTAGCTTTAACAGGTTTTGTTCCATAAAATTGGAAAGTACTACTACCATTAATTCCAGTAGGTCCAAAAGTACTTCTAATGCTGTCAGCAGGATTAATTGTTTCTGGAAGAAGAGGAAATTTATAAGAGGGAGGAGTGGAGCTATCAGACTCCAAGATGGTGATGATGGGACTGTGCTCAGAGGAGGTTAAAGGCAGGAGGTCAGAAGGGGAGATAACAAGACTATTGACAGTGCCAGCAGGCTTAGCATCTAACCTGTTGTAAGAGGCTTCTTCTGATGAAAGACCAAAAATCCCACTACCAGTAGTTCTAGCAGGCTCTGACCCAAGTATAATTTTAGTGCTTTCAACAGGTTTGCTATCAAAAATCCCGCTACCTGTAGTTCCAGCAGACGTTGACCCAAATATACTTTTAGTGCTTTCAACAGGTTTGCTATCAAAAATCCCGCTACCTGTAGTTCCAGCAGACTTTGACCCAAATATACTTTTAGCGCTCTCAACAGGTTTGCTATCAAAAATCCCGCTAGCTGTAGTTCCAGCAAGCACTGACCCAAACATACTTTTAGTGCTTTTAACAGGTTTGCTATCAAAAATCCCACTACCAGTAGTTCCAGCAGGCTCTGACTCAAATATACTTTTAGTGCTTTCAACAGGTTTGCTATCAAAAATCCCACTACCTGTAGTTCCAGCAAGCACTGACCCAAATATACTTTTAGTGCTTTCAACAGGTTTGCTATCAAAAATCCCACTACCAGTAGTTCCAGCAGGCTCTGACCCAAATATACTTTTAGTGCTTTCAACAGGTTTGCTATCAAAAATACTTCTACCAGTAGTTCCAGCAGGCCCTGACCCAAACATACCTTTAGTGCTTTCAACAGGTTTGCTATCAAAAATAATTCTACCAGTAGTTCCAGCAGGCCCGGACCCAAATATACTTTTAGTGCTTTCAACAGGTTTACTTTTGAATAGACTTCTACCAGTAGTTCCAGTAAGCACTGACCCAAATGGACTTGTAGTGCTTAGAGCAGGTTTGCTATCGGCAGCAATATTGACAGATACAAAAGGACTTCTACCAGTTGTCTCAGCAGGCTTTGCACCAAACGGACTACTTAAAGTGTTTCCGAAAGATTGAGTTCCAAAAGAGCTTCTAACAGTTTTTCCAATAGAAAAAGATCTCTTCAATCTACCAGTGTAGTCTTCCCATCTTTCGTTTTCGTACTCCTAAAATCAGTTTTCTTAAAATGCTAACAAGTTATTCTTTAACTCTTTTTAATTCTTTTTAATTAAGGAAATACATTAAAGTTTTTGTACAGCTCAAAGATATAAACAAAATCTCAAAGTCAGTTTACATGTAACAACAGCACATGTACAGTTCACTTCGCCTCTTCTCCTTGGATAGATATATATAATCACAAAATCAAAAGCGCATGCACAGAAATATATCCAGCCAGAGTTTCCCTTTTTTCAAGATCAACTTAAATATTTTCTAAAACCTTTTCTAAAGCTGTTAAGAATAAAAAACCATTAAAAATTGTTGAGTTTAAGAGCAGAACCCTTTTAAATCAAATAAAGAATAAATCTACCTCCTGATGCTATACCGAGCATGGGTGTGACATGCTAAACATTGTTCTTGATCAATTCCAAACAGAAAAATCATCATCAGTTAAGAAAGGTTACGCCATGAAATTTCTAACCGTTTCAAGAAAAGTTCCCCATGTTATTTACAGATCCAGATTGCTCCGGAAGAAACTGGAAACTTTAGCGTGAGAAGTGTCCAAGCAAGCTGCGCGTTCGCATTCCTTACTTGCAAAAAATGACTCTCTCTTGAGTTTAGCTTCTACAAATAAAAGCTTTTATGTTTGAATTTCCTCTGCAGCAAAGTCTTTTTTCTTATTGATTATCATACTGTACCTTCATGAGAGTGATACAGTTCATGCTGGTATTATATGCAAGCCTATGAGATCCAGATGCTAAACTATCATAACCTAGGAATAAGTTCTTAATTAGAAATCATTTTAAAATAAAAACCAACAAATGTAGGCATAACTTCAATTGATCCTTTATTCAAAGATGGCAATATCCGGCTTAAAATCTTTGTATGATCAGATATAAATAAGAACTTCGTTTAAGTTTTTCTAAACCATTTATTTTGATTTGTGATTTCTCTTGTTTGACTTGCGCAATTCTTGCATATAAGAAACAATGGAGAAAAGTGCAGAAATAAAAACCTTAAGTCAGGTATCTTCCACATTATTGATCAAGGTACCTGTGTGAATCAGGCATTGCCATCTTAACATGGAGAGACTTTGATACTTACTACTTACCAAGTTTTAAAACTTTTGCCTCTTTTTAGATATAAAAAACGTAATTGAGTTTTTATGAATGTTAAATGAATTTGAATGGATTTAATTAGTCCAGTACATTCAAAATTATTCATAGCTTATGTTCATTTCTTCCCATTTTAAAGGGACCGTTAGTGTAATTTCAAGTGACCCTTCACTCAAAGATGGTAATACCTGATTTACTGCGGTGGTACCCTTGAACACTTAATCTGATCAAAAATTTGAAAGATAACTTTGTTTTTCTGACTCAAAAAGTATCCCATTGTTTCTTATAACCATGAAATGTGCAATTAACTTTCGATGAGAAACTACAACTGAATAAAAATTAATGGACATAGCAGTCTTTACATGGAGGGCCATTTGAAATTCACATTACAGTCCCTTTAGTGTATTTAAATTGTGTAAGAAAGTATTAAATTCTTTAATTTATTTTCAAAATCCAACTTGTTAACCTACCCAAAGTTTGTTTAGTTGTTCCTTCCTGCAGAGTTGATGTAACTTTATCAGGAACCCCTATAACATATAAACTAATCAGGAAATATATCAGTAACCCCTTGTAACATAAAAACTAATCAGGAACTATATCAGGAACCCTTGTAACATAAAAACTTATCAGGAACTATATCAGAAACACTTGTAACATGAAAACTTATCAGGAACTATATCAGGAACCCCTGTAACATGAAAACTTATCAGGAACTATATGAGAAACCCTTGTAACATGAAAACTTATCTTACCTATACCTATACCTATACCTATACCTATAATTACAAATATCGATTTACAGGGTAACAAATAAATGATTTTCAAATCAAATCAAATCAAACCAAATCAAACCAAATCAAACCAAACCAAACCAAATCAAATTAAATCAAACCATACCAAATAAAATCAAACCAAACCAAATAAAACCATACCAAATCAAATTAAACCAAACCAAATCAAATCACAACATATCAATTGATTTGCTCCAAGGTAAATCATCCCAAATTGGTTTTCAAAAATAATAAGACCTGTAAATGCATAAATAACAGTTTGACTGTCTAGACATCCTCCAATTCCTCTGCAGTTTGGGCACAGTGCCTTTGAATACTCTACAAAAGTTTTATTAGTTCTGCCTCTTTCTTGATCAGAATTGCCTCTTTCTTGATCAGAATTGCCTCTTTCCAGATCAGAATTGCCTCTTTCTTGATCAGCATTGTGTCTTTCTTGATCAGAATGTTTTTCTTCTTGATTATCAGCATTGCTTTTTTCTTGAACAGCTTGGTTTTTTTCTAGATCGGCTTTACTTTCTTCTTGATCAGCTTTGCTACCTTCTTGATTAGTCATGTTCTCATCCTTCTCTTCTTCATCTGATATGTATGCAATTCCATACTTGCTATTGCGCGGACTCAGTTGTATCTTGAAGTTGAGGATTGCTATGATCTTAGTTTTTACCCAATTCAAGACTTCTGCGTTGGAATCAAGATTATTCTAAAATATTCAAACATTTATTAAATAAAATACTTTATAAGGAAGTCTAAAAAATCAAAAAAGATTTTTAATATACCTCAATTAAAGCCAGAACATCCTTCTCAGAACGACATAACCTCTGAAGTGAGAAAACAGTTCTCTTGTACAATATATTCCAAACACATTCAACAGTAAACCTATCCTCATACTTCTTCAGTACTTGGAACACATCGCTGTAGTCAGAGATGTCAACTTGTTCAACCCTCTCCTGTATCATGGTCATACATCCTCTCAACTCATACTCATCCCCCAGGAGAACAAGCTGGAACAAGGACTCTAAACTACTCAACTTACTCATCAAGGTTCTATCTCCAGAGTAGAGAAGTTTTATCATAGTATTCACAGATTCCAAGGAGAATCCTTTTATCCCTATGGTTTCAAGGCTTTTGTCCTCATGGGTTGATGGTTTCTGATTGAAGATTGGGGAAATCAGAGATAGAAGGAATTTGTGAGCTTTTACAGATCCTAACAGTCGTCAGAAATTAAATATCATCTTTATGGGAATTTTAAAAACGAACTGTTGAAATAAATAAAATTTAAACTATATGAAAATGAAAAAAGAAATATTTTTGCACTAAATGTTCAAAGGATTTATACAGCCCCCAGTTCTGCATTAAGGGTATGGGAACTGTTGAAAGGTTGGAAAAAACTGTTTATAAGACTTGAACAATAATGACAAATTTTCAAACAAATTCTACATGTCTAATTACCAAACGTTGTCTAATGAACTAAAAGTTGATTTAAATAAGGTGGTATAAAGGGCCAAAGGATCAGTTCAAATCAATTCAAAAAAGGGGGGGGGGAGGTTATTTTGGAAAGAGGCTTTCTGAAACATTAGAGGGACCGTCAGTGTAATTTCAATTGACATTTTAAGAATTGCCAATTCACACTTGGCGTCCTATAAACCTTCCGCTGAGCATAAATTGTGAACATTTACGTTTTTATGTGAAAATTGATAACACATAAAATCTGACTTCCCTAACAAAATTCCATTTTCATCCATTACATTAAACTGTATGTCAGGCTCAATCTGGGTGGATCCAAAATCCAGCAAATCTACAAAGTTAAAATTTCGTAGATTTTTCATTTTAGATCCAAAGATTTCTGAAATATAAAGTTTTCACTAATTATATCTAAAATTCAGATTAAAAATGAGCGAAAAAATCACAATTTTACTGAAGGTATTCTTTATATTTCCAGATAAGTTTGTTTGACTTAGTCTTTGCAAGTAGTCTACAAAAGATTTATTTTATTTGTGTTATTTTAATCAGTAGATACCGACAATTATTGATACTTCTATATATAAATTTAGCTTGTCTGTCTGTTTGTTTGTTTGTATCCAATAAACGTCAAAACAGCTGAACTGACAGGGCCCAAATTTTTGTGGGACATCACGTGACCACAGGAAGGTTTATGAATGATAAAAATTTTAAAAAATGTGTTTTAAAGGTTTTTAATTTCGTAAAAAAATTTAAATTCTTGAAAATCCGCGAATTTTTTATATAAAATCGGCAACATTTTTTCTTCTTTGTTTTAAAATGTAAACAAATAGAACATGTTCACAATTTAAATAGAAGAAGCCTATAAAGAAGGGCGCCAAGCGACTTGAATTTCTAGTAAATTATAAAGGAGCAAAATAAGTATAAGTATAAGACTAGAAGGTTACTCCAAAACTTGAATTAAGCTAGGTATGTCCTGACTTTGAGCCAATTAGTTAAAACTATTAAATATTTTTTATCAGGTAGCCGTTCATTTCTTAACTAAAAATGGAACATTATTTTATTTATAGTATTTTGAATTTTCTTAATATTAATAACAAACTATAGCTAGAGAAATTTAAAGACAATAAAACCATCAAAATGCATAAAATTCTACAAATAAACAGGGGGGAATTCAGAAAGACGGCTTTAAAACATCAAAATATATTAGAATTTATACATAATTTACTTCTAGTTTCATGGAATTTTAGGCAAATAAATGATCAAAGTGACTGTTTTGTAAAACAATTTTGAGTCCGTTACTGGCTACCATGTTTTGGCTGCAATTGAACTTGAGGTTTGCGATGATCTTAGTCTTAATCCACTTGAAGATTTCAGCATCAGAATCAATATTAGTCTGAAGTATAAGAACATTAATGCTTTTTACTGATGTTGAAACTACATTAACATAATGTTTGATATTGATAAGTTAGTTTGTTCAAAAAGGGATATAAAATAAAGAAAAGTTGGAAACTACACTGAAAAAATACATTTTCAATGAATTTCCCCAGAAAGGAATAGAGAAGCAACCTAATATGTAATGCAATGAATAGTACTATTTGTTTAAAGGAAAAATGCCGAAATATTTGAATTAATGATATCTCCATTAATAAGAATGATCGCTACTGCAATAATCTATATATCTAGAATACCTCAACTAAAGCCAGAACATCCTTCTCAGAACGACATGAACGCTGAAGAACGGAAACAGTTCTCTTGTACAATATACTCCAAACACATTCAACAGTAAACTTATCCTCATACTTCTTCAGTACTTGGAACACATCGTAGTAGTTGGAGATATTAACTTGTTGAACCCTCTCCTGTATCATGGTCCTACATCCTCTCAACTCATACTCCTCCCCTAGGAGAACAAGCTGGAACAAGGACTCTAGACTACTCAACTTACTCATCAAGGTTCTATCTCCAGAGTAGAGAAGTTTTATCATAGTATTCACAGATTCCAGGGAGAATCCTTTTATCTCTATCGTTTGAAGACTGCTGTCCTCGTGGGTTGATAGTTTCTGGCGGAAGATTGGGGAAATCAGAGATAGAAGGAATTGGTGAGCTTTTACAGATCCTAGAGTCACCAGAACAAAATATATTAACTATTTGGAAATTTAAAAAAGGAAAACATTTGCACCAATTCTTGATAGGATTTGGACAATCACCAGCTCCACATTAGGTGCAGGAACTGTTGAAACCAACAACTTGTGATTCTCATTAAAAATGCTAAATTAACCAATTAAACATTTAACAATAATGACAGATTTATTTCTAATTTTAATGTTTGAATCCTGAATCCTTGCTATATGACAGATGGGTATANGTTACTGGGATATAACTTCTAACTAGATGTGCACAAGATGGTTTTTCCAGATTTTTTGCCACACACTCTGATATGTCTATTCCTTTATCTTTGCAACCCAATGGCGTAGATTTGAATCTTTGAATTCTTTTGGTAAAATAATCTAAGTTTGAAATATCAAAGGTTTACACTACTCGGTGCAAAGAGTTAGGGATTAGATTATTTGAGCTTCTGGCAAAAACTCAGTTCCAAATCTAAAGACAATTCTGATTATCATTGGTTTAATTGGTGTGTTTATGTTTACATATCACAGGTGTGATAATTTAAAACATCTCTTTTCCGAATTCATTGGCTGATCAGGAATTCAGCCAGTTATCAAGGTTGTTTTTGAAAATGTTCAGGTTTCCAGCACTTTTGATTTCATTTGGAATATCATTCCATATATTGATAACTCTTGCACTAAAAAAGTTTCTTTGTATTTCGGTGTGCACAACAGGTAACTTCAGATTCAAAGGATTACTGGACATTCTGGTATCATATTTCATAACTGATAGGGGTTATCCTCATTGACTGAACTTTCATAAATTTGAAAATGAAATAGGATTATGAAAATTGGTTAGAATGATCAATCATAAATTCAATAACTCCAGAGAAAAAGATGTAGATGATTAAAATTATGCATCTGGACACTTGCGACTATTCATGGGTTATATGTATTTTGATGTTTTTTTTTCAGAATATATAAATGATTATTTCTTGTAATTAATTCTATTCTGTAATTAAGGTTACTTAACAACTTTTCTTTTGTGCTTTACATACACATTCAACGAATTGACTCATATCGTTCATTTTGCAGGTTTTGGAAGTATAAATTTGTTGAAAACACAAGAATAAAACTAATTGAATTAAACACAGCCAAAGCTGCATGCAACAACTGAAAATTTCCTTTTTTTTGACTTCAAACCCTTAAAAACATACTTCTATTTTGAAAGATAAAATTTGAAAGACAAAATAATTTTCTCCCCCCTCCCTCACGAAAGTGTTAGATGCGCCACTGGGATTAACAGATATGAAAAGTTAGTTCAAAATAAATCAGAAGGGGGGGGGGGAGGGTGGATATATTATAATAAACTTCACTGAAAAACAAAAAGAGACGATTGACATAATTTTCAAGGCTATTTAAAGAATTGCACAGCCAATTTAATGTGGAACCATTCAAAATTTTGACTTGGTATAAATGACTGAGGCGTCTGTGATTTTCTGCCTTAAAAAGAATAATTTTAATATCTGGGTATTGTCCGACTTCCCTAGAAAAGTTCCATCCTTATCCATTACATTAAACTGTATGTCAGGCTCAATCTGACAGGACCCAGAATCCAGTAAATCTATGAAATTGAAATCTCGTAGATTTTTCATTTTAGATCAATATATATCTGAAATATGAAGTTATAACTTTATTTAAATACAATAAAAATATGAATTTTTAATGTAAATCATAATGTTACTGATCACATGTGGTGTTATAAGTTTCAGTATTAGATTAATATAAGCATCAAAACAAGATTGTTTTACTATAACCTTATCTCTCTTTCTTCCAATATTATCTATCTTTATACAAAGACAGATAAGCACATATTTAAGGATTAAATAAAAATATTATTCATTAACTTAAAATATAAATTTAAACACAAATACATCTTCTTTGACACTCATTGATAGTTTAAAATATCAAAATTTCAATTGTGCCATTTTAATTTTGATGAATGATTAATGATAAATTTTGCACATAAAAATATAATAACTCATTTTGTTTATTTAAAAAAACTGAGACTAAGTTGAAATTCAAATTAAGTGCTCATAAAAAAATTGATTGACATATTATCGACAACTTTTAACTGGCAATTATTAAAAAAATTACATTTTTTAAAGTATTTGTGTCACACTAAAATACTGATTAATTTACATACAAAGGAATTGAGTCTTTGCCACAAACTCTGAATTTCTAATCCTTATATCTTTACAACCCAATGTCGTGGACCTGAGATATTTCAAACTATGGTTTCTGTAAGATCAAATAATCCAAGTTTGAAATATCAAAGGTTTACATCATCAATTCGCAAAGATATAAGGATTTGAACATTTTAGTTTGTGGCAAAGAATCAATTTCTTTAGGAGTGTTATGAATCTTCAACTCATTTTTTCCCTGTTTAAAGAATCAAATACTGTGTAGACATTGAACTTCACTGGGGTTAGGTCAGGTTTATTCATTTTCCTGTTGGGTCTATTGGCTGCGTAAGAAATTTAAAACTATCTCTCTTGATAGCTGTTTAGAATCACCGGGTATATTTTAGAAATTCCGCAACTTACTGTAACACTTCAGTTTGTTTAGGTTCTTTAAGAAAATGGGACACAAAATCAAGAATTTCTTGCACTTCCTGGACTACAGAATTTGATTGCGGACTGGGATGCAACTGGATGCAACCTTGCTGTGTCGTCAGTGAAACCTACCAATCCTGAAGCGTTAAAACTGTTCGATACTATACCAGGGGCAGAGCTGTTAGAAGTAGCAGGTACTTCAGATGCAGAGCTGTTAGGAGTAGCGGTTACTTCAGATGCAGAGTTGCTAGGTGGAGTGGTTACTTTAGATGCAGAGCTGTTAGAAGTAGTGGATACTCTATAGGTAGAGCTGTTATGAGTAGCAGATACTTTAGATGCAGAGCTGCTAGGAGTAGTAGTTACTTTAGATGCAGAGCTATTTGGAGTAATGGTTACTCTATAGGCAGAGCTATTAGGAGTAGCAGGTACTTTAGAGCTTTTAAAAGTAGTGCGTACTTTATGAGCAGAGATGTCAGAAGTAGCAGGTACTTTAGATGCAGAGCTGATAGGAGTAGCAGGTACTTTAGATGCAGAGCTGTTAGAAGTAGCAGGTGCTTTAGATGCAGGGCTGTAGGAGTAGCAGGTACTTTAGATGCAGAGCTGTTAGAAGTAGCAGGTACTTTAGATGCAGAGCTGTTAGAAGTAGCAGGTGCTTTAGATGCAGGGCTGTTAGGAGTAGCAGGTACTTTAGATGCAGAGCTGTTAGAAGTAGCAGGTACTTTAGAAGCAGAGCTGCTTGGAGTAGCAGGTACTTTAGATGCAGAGCTGTTAGGAGTAGCAGGTGCTTTAGATGCAGAGCTGTTAGGAGTAGCAGGTACTTTAGATGCAGAGCTGTTAGGAGTAGCAGGTACTTTAGATGCAGAGCTGTTAGAAGTAGCAGGTACTTTAGATGCAGAGCTGCTTGGAGTATCAGGTACTTTAGATGCAGAGCTGTTAGGAGTAGCAGGTGCTTTAGATGCAGGGCTGTTAGGAGTAGCAGGTACTTTAGATGCAGAGCTGTTAGGAGTAGCAGGTACTTTAGATGCAGAGCTGTTAGGAGTAGCAGGTACTTTAGATGCAGAGCTGATAGGAGTAGCAGGTACTTTAGATGCAGAGCTGTTAGAAGTAGCAGGTGCTTTAGATGCAGGGCTGATAAGAGTAGCAGGTGCTTTAGATGCAGAGCTGTTAGAAGTAGCAGATACTTTAGATGCAGAGCTGATAAAAGTAGCAGGTGCTTTAGATGCAGAGCTGTTAGAAGTAGCAGATACTTTAGAGGTTGATATGTTAGGAGTAGCAGGTTCTTCAGAGGCTAAGATGTCACAAAAAGCATCTAGCTCGCATGTAACCAGTGAGGGCGTTACATGTTTTGAACTGAATGGATTAGTAACAGGCACAAAACCAGATTTGTTAAAAAAGGGGTTTGAACGGAAGAAAGGGGTGGTTGGAGAAGAAACTAGAACTGAAGGGGAACTAAATGAGAATTCGGTGTCGGCCAATAGACTAGATCCAGTACTTCCAGCAGATCCAATGATGACAGGACTACTGAAAGAATAAACACCAGGCTTTGGACTAAACAGATCTATACTATCATTGGTTCCAAGAGACTCAACACCAAAAGAACCAGTTTTTCCACCAGAACTTACTGCATATGAACCAAAGACAGTTGCAGTAGATTCTAAAAATGGCTCATGATTAATTGCAGAGCCATCAAAAAAAGATTTATTTACTTGAGCATTAAAACTAGGTTTAGATGCAGTACCACCGAAGACAGCTTTTGCTGTAGTTCCATCAAAAATTGTTTTGACTGCAGTAAACTCATCTAGGGGATGTGTTGATGTAGTACCAAACACTAACTTTTCATTAGTACTAAAGGTTGACAGACTGGGCAAACCAAAGTCAGGGGTTTGTTCCAAACCAGTAAATTCAAATTTTGATCGAGCTAAAATAGGATGGGGTCGGGGTATTTTGACTAAAGAAGTCTCGTCTGTAAGATGGCAACAGTACACAACCTCTGGAGGTATGCCCTGCCTCCCAAAGTACACCTGCTCTTCCTGGGGATTCAAATCCCAACTAACTATAAGAAAAACGCGGTCAATATCAGCATAAAATGCCTGAACATCTCCTGTCTGGTGTTTGGAAAGCTTAGAATATTTTCTCTTATGTATGTATCCTTGATATTCTTGATATTCAATAGAATGTTTTACAGGTTGAAAACCAGACACAGCTTTCACACAAGTTCCTAAAATATTATATGTGGAGTTTTCAATTTTTGTTGAAATCAATTTGTTTTCAAATATGCCTTCAAAACCATTGATAAGAATTTTTTATTTATATTTAATATCAACCAGAAAGGTTATTCTTTATTTACCCTACTCCCAAAGAAAAAAAAAGAGCAAAAAGTAATTAGCCCACAGCACGATGAAAGAATAGACGAGTTATAGTTCATGATAGGATATAAAAGTGTATGTAACCTTTAAATGCATAGACAACAGTCTGACCGTCAAGACATCCTCCAATTCCTTTGCAATTCGGGCACAGTGCTCCTGGATCAGTTTTACTACCTACTTGATCAGTTTTGCTTCCTTCCTGATCAGCTTTGCTTCCTTCTTGATAAGCTTTGCTTTCTTCTTGATAAGCTTTTTTTTCTTCTTGATCAGCTTTACTTTCTTCTTGATCTAACATGTTTACAGCTTCATGCTTGCTGGGAGTCTTGTGATTCCTCCATAGTCTCAGCTGCATGTGGAACTTGAGGTTTGCAATGATCTTAGTTTTAATCCACTTTAAGACTTCATCATTGGATTCAATATTAGTCTAAAATATTAATTTTTAAAATCAAAATGATAACACAGTTCTAAACAGTTTAAAAAATATTAATGCTATAAAAATGTAAATCAGAAATCTGTTTACTTGCTCTGTGGTCTTCTTGCAAAAAAAAACAAAAAACTAAGTTACAACAGTTTCTCACTTAAGATCTCAAAAGAGAGAGTACATTTTTCAAAATAAAAACATTACAATAAATAATAAATAAAATTCTTAATCACCCTAATTAATGCAAGAACATCATTCTCTGAATGACATGAGCTTTGAAGAACGGAAACAGTTCTCTTGTACAATATATTCCAAACACATTCAACAGTAAACCTATCCTCATACTTCTTCAGTACTTGGAACACATCGTTGTAGTCAGAGATGTCAACTTGTTCAACCCTCTCCTGTATCATGGTCCTACATCCTCTCAACTCATACTCATCCCCCAGGAGAACAAGCTGGAACAAGGACTCTAGACTACTCAACTTACTCATCAAGGTTCTATCTCCAGAATAGAGAAGTTTTATCATAGTATTCACAGATTCCAAAGAGAATCCTTTTATCTCTATCGTTTGAAGACTACTGTCCTTGTGGGTTGATAGTTTCTGATTGAAGATTGGGGAGAGCAGAGACAGAAGGTATTTGTGAGCATTTACAGATCCTAACAGTCGTCAGACATTAATGTTACGATAATAATTTAAACCCAAATAAAAATAAATATTTAGAAGGAAAAAATAACAAGCTAATTCCAAATCTAACCAGATTTTAGAAATGTGTTCACTTAAACCTTACAAAGGCTGGGGGGGGGGGGGTGGTCTGAATCTATATATAGAAGTAGATCTTAAAAGTAAATGTATGCAGTAATAGATTATTAATGTTTAAAGCCAGTAAGGTTTAAAATATAGCAAAAAAGGTCAGATAAATGTAAAAAAAATTTAAATTTTTGTTTTTGACAAACAGTAAGATGTTTTCAAGGGGTGTACAATATTGGAGTGCTAGAGCAAAAAAACAGCCTGTTAAAGGTTTAGTCAAAAATCAAGACATTTACAACAAAAAACTTCAAATAAAAACTATTTATGAATTTGTTATTTTATTTTTGGTCAACATTATGTTGTCTGGACTTCCCTAGTAAAATTTCATTCTTATCCATTACATTAAATTGAATATCAGGTTCTATCTGGCTGGATCCAGAATCCAGTAAATCTACAAAATTGAAATCTCGTAGATTTATCATTTTAGGTTAAAATATTTCTGAAAAAAATTATAGAAACAATAACATTGTCAATCATAAAAATACATTAAAAACAAACAAAAATCACATGTTATCTAATATCTCATCTTAGAAAAAAAGAGACATATGTATTAATAATTACACATTTAAAATCAATATAAATTTTATTTTTCAAACATTATCCAATTTACTTTTTTTTCCAGAAATCAGAACTTTTGTGTTGACATCTTGGGATCAAGTATTGATCTCTAGTTTATGCAGATTTCAGATCTACAGATCTACTTTAATTGAGGGATCAAGTATTGATCCATGTGCCCAAATTGGATATAAGATCAAGCACTGATCCATGTGCCCAAATTAGATATAAGATCAAGCATTGATCCATGTGCCCAAATTGGATATAAGATCAAGCATTGATCCATGTGCCCAAATTGGATATAAGATCAAGCATTGATCCATGTGCCCAAATTGGATATAAGATCAAGTATTGATCCATGTGCCCAAATTGGATGTAAGATCAAACATTGATCCATGTGCCCAAATGAGATATAAGATCAAGCATTGATCCATGTGCCCACATTGGATATAAGATCAAGCATTGTCTATGTGCCCACATTGGATATAAGATCAAGCATTGATCCATGTGCCCAAATTGGATATAAGATCAAGCATTGATCCATGTGCCCAAATTAGATATAAGATCAAGCATTCATCCATGTGCCCGCATTGGATATAAGATCAAGCATTGATCCATGTGCCCAAATTGGATATAATAATAATAATAATAATAATAATTGATCCATGTGCCCAAATTGGATACAAGATCAAGTATTGATCCATGTGCCCAAATTAGATATAAAATCAAGAATTGATCCATGTGCCCAAATTGGATAAATAAGATCAAGTATTGATCCATGTGCCCACATTGGATATAAAATCAAGAATTGATCCATGTGCCCAAATTGGATATATAAGATCAAGCATTGATCTTTGTGCCCAAATTGGATAAAAGATCAAGCTTTACAGATGTAACAATATACAAACAAAATTTCCGATCTCGGCTCAAATAGGATATTTTACAATTCAATTTGAACATTTTTTTATCAAAAGATTTAAAAAAAAATTGCTGCATACTTTTAGCAATAATTATCACAAATTATAAAGATAATAATAATAATAATAATAATAACAATAGAAACCCGAAATTAAATTAATCTAAAAAAAGCTTTTCTTCCCACTCATGTTTTTCACATAAAAACTAATCAAGTATTTTAAAATTTGCAAGACATAATAACAATCTGCGTCAGCCCCATTTCTAAAATTCATTACATCAAACTGACCAATAGAAGCAGTCAGATCCAATTAACATAACACTTGAAAATTGACATTTTAACATACAAATTACAATCTGACATTTTTCAATAATTTAATCTACTTTTTGTCTAGAATTTCACAAGTAGACTTTTTCCTCAATATTTGTATGTCTGACTGAACCGTTTAGTGACATGCTCTAGTGCAGTGACCGGTGGGAACCTGGGGTCAGCTGAGGTCAGAGGGGCAACCACTACCTGGAATAATGATAATAATATTAATAATTGTATGGTGGCTCGTACATGAAAATGAGAAGAAATGTTTTGGCTGTCCGTTAAGCCCTTGTGAGAATCATATAAGAAAACTAATTTCCAGAACAAAATCAATAAAAACACTTTTGAAAATTTAGCAGCAGAAAAGTGAGTGATTAACTTATTAATAGTCATTGAACATTGTTTTATCTATTTAAACTGCACGAACTATTGTATTGTGGAGATCAAGATCTTGATCTGTTGTTTATTTATTTAATCTTTTTTTTTATATCAAACATGGTAGTCATACCCTGCAAGAATAACTGAACCGAGGAATTAATCCTTAAATTATTAGTGCCCTCAGTGGAAATCGAGCTTAATCGGTCGAGATTATGAGTATCCAAATTAAAAGTTGAGTTTGAATAGGTTTCTACACAAGAAAATATTTGAGCCATTTTTCCGTATTAAAGCAGTTTAGAAATTGCCAAATCTATTCTAAACGTTAAATTATTGCCAATGGAAGAATATAAGTAGAAATTTCAATGTTAATTAAGATATCGATCTGAGCTAGTGAACAGTCCCTTGAACATATCTCTACCTCGTCATCTGGGTGGACGAATAGAACTATGCTCTGTCGTGCAGTCGTCTTCGTCAACTCCTCGTCCGGGATCAAAACCCTGGATTAAATCATCAATCAATAAATCAATCAATCAATAAATCAGTCAGAATTTCATGGGGACTTCCTAACTAAATATAATGCCTAAGATGACCTCCATGCAAAGATGGCAATGCCTAATTAAAAACGGCGCGGCAAGACGATTGTTTTCTATGATCAAGAATGCAAGTTCAACCCTCCATCATTGCAAACTAAGATGGTCTCGCTCTCACACAAAAATTAATCAGTATTTTGCCAATTACTTCTTTTAATCTTAAACTAGAAACAAGCACTTTGCAGTTTTAAAATGTATATGCCTTTGGGTGAAGTAAACCCAGAGGTGAAGGGGTTGTGAGACTGGAAGCTGTCTAAAACTTTGATGACTAACTTTCAGAGTTGTATCAATATCAGTGCCATGCAAAGATGGCAATATCCGATTTACAACGGTACCCTTGAAACTTTAATCTGATCAAAAATGTAGAAGATATCGTCGTTTTTCTTACTCGAAAATTGTTCATTTCTTTGAGTTTCTCTATTGCTTCTCATAAACAAGAACTGCACAAGTCACTTTCGCAGAGAACCCGCAAATAAAAATAAACAGTTTAAAAACAAAAACCATAATATCTATCCCACACTTTTGATCAAATTAAAGTTTCAAGGGTACCGTTGTTAATCAGACATTGTACTCTAGGCATGAAGAGTCAATTGAAATGACGCATACAGTCCATTTAAGGATTTTCATCTCAGAAAGATTGAAGTAGTTAATATCCTTTTCATTACACAAAAGCATTTGCTGTCTGCGTATTTTAAAGTGCATCTATAGTTATTTGCGTAATTTACACCATGTATCCTTAAAACTTCTTACTAAGCACCAATGAACAAGATATCAAAATTTTGTATCATAAACAGGGGTTATTTTATGTTATTAGTACACATTTCGAAAAATGTATAGGCGCAGAATTTCTTCTGGAAACTTGGGGCTTAGGTCTCCCAACCATCGTTCATCCAAGATTTCTCTTAGATTGTTCCACGAATTTACTAATCCAGCATTGATGACACAAAACCATAGTAATTCATTTTAAACTTGAGTTTCCAGGATATTTTTGATTCACAACTTTTGAATACCGGACATTAATACCTAAAATGGCCATCCTAGTTTTCGTTGGGATAAATTAATTGTAAATTAAACAATCATTTTAATCCTGGTTTACTTCGGAATATTAAATTTAAATAATTTGAAAATTCGTAATATATGAGAAATAAAAAATCAAGATTTAAAATAAAAATAAAATCTTAAAAGATAAAATGTAAAAAAATAAATATGTCAAAAAATAAATAATGAAAGACAAAATTCATTAACAGCGAAAACCCTCTTTAATGAGTTGTTGGAACAAGATCTAGAGTGGATATGGTCTGGTCTGGGCCAACTCGCCTGCAAAAACATTACATTATATTAATTAATCCAAAAAACCAAGAAACTACTAAATAAATCAACCACTGTAATATAAATGTGCTCCTTGTAAAAACAGGATGTTGGGGCTCAACTATAGAGCTAGAAGGAGACTTCGGAGATTTGTATTCGAATTGCAACAAAAATTTATTAGAAAACTGTATAATTAAAGCCTGTAAAATTGCGGGTTTAAATTCCGAATCGGAAAGTTACATAATTAATTTAATGAGATGCTCAATGAATCATTCGTATTTTAAAGAACCCACAGGAATATTTNTACAACGGTACCCTTAAAACTCTTACAACGGTACCCTTAAAACTCCTACAACGGTACCCTTAAAACTCGTACAACGGTACCCTTAAAACTCCTACAACGGTACCATTAAAACTCCTACAACGGTACCCTTGAAACTACTACAACGGTACCCTTAAAACTCCTACAACGGTACCATTTAAACCTTGATCTGATGAAGCTTGAATGAGGAAGATTCTCGAAAAGTCCTAATTTTTGTGAATTTTTGTATTGCTTCTTATGAACAAGATCCGTGCAAGTCGCTTTAACAGAGAAATTTCAAAATATTATTACAAAAATTGTGTCAAGTTCCTAAAACTCTGAAATGAAAGAGAAAAATTATTTAGAAAAAACTGAATATAAGACCTGTGCTTTGTTGCTGGGTATTCACCAGCAGTCCACATCTCAAGTAAGTCTCCAATATTAACTGAAATTAAAAAATCTACCAAAAAACATTAAATAAAAATTCCATTAAATCGAAGGTTTTAAATGTAAGTCTTTTATAAACTGAACTTAAAGCCTGTGGAAATGGTATTTTCTCTAAAGATTATAAAATTGCTGATTTTGCTGCAGAAACATAGAAACAATTTATCAGAATTAAAACATTTTCAAGCTAGAAAAATTAACGATATCTCCCCATTATTGATAAGATGAAGGATTAAGAAAAAGTTTTAGGTTAGTTTATTTTCTTTATTTTGGTTTTTGAGAAACAACTAAAATATGTGTTTGTTTCTAAAAGTAATAACTGATCGATTTTAAAGACTTAAAACATAATTTTTACTTTATTTATTATTATTTTCACCTAGAATGGTTTGAGGAATAGGAACAGCGTCCACCCATGAGCCAGCAGCTGATTTAACCTAAACAAAAAAATTCTGAAAAGTTTTGGTTTAAAATTCAACAATCTTATAACTGTCATGTAACACCTTTTGATATAATACAACAATGTTTTAACTGTCATGTAACACCTTTTTATATAATTCAACAATGTTTTAAATGTCATGTAACACCTTTTCATTTAATTTAACAATGTTTTAACTGTCATGTAACACCTTTTCATATAATTCAACACTCTTTTAACTATCATGTAACAGCTTTTCATATAATTCAACAATCTTTTAATTGTCATGTAACACCTTTTAATATAATTCAACAATCTTTTAATTGTCATGTAACAGCTTTTCATATAATTCAACAATCTTTTAACTGTCATGTAACACCTTTTCATATAATTCAACAATCTTTTAACTGTCATTTAACACCCTTTACATATAATTCAACAATGGTTTAATTGTCATGTAACAGCTTTTCATATAATTCAACAATCTTTTAACTGTCATGTAACACCTTTTCATATAATTCAACAATCTTTTAACTGTCATTTAACACCCTTTACATATACTTCAACAATGGTTTAATTGTCATGTAACAGCTTTTCATATAATTCAACAATCTTTTAACTGTCATGTAACAGCTTTTCATGCAATACATTTTCATTTAAAATGCAATCACTGACTCAACAAAAGATATAAAAGAGAATTTTTTTATCGAAAGTCTGCAGCTTCCTGGAACAATTGAACCGTACTGTTAAATCAACGCATAATCTGACCATCCATGCAAAGATGGAAATGTCCGATATACAACATATTCTTGATTAAATTAAGTTTTCGAGCGTACTGATGTAAAACTGTCATTGCTATTTTTGCATTTACTTGAATTTACGCTGACGCGACGGCACCTTTAACAAGAAACATAAAAAGTTTTAACCCATTTAATAGAATAATATTTTTTAAATCACGAAAATTTGCGTCACCTTAATGTAAGCACAAGCTGCAGTACAGTACAATAAAATGTGGTCATTTTCAAGACAACCAAGTTAAAACAACAAAATTATAAGACTGAAGGATAAAAAACAAAATGATAGGTTTATTTTAACGGACTGTAGGTAGTCATAAATTTAAGTGACAGCTGGTTTATTAAGGGACTGTAGGTAGTCATAAATTTAAGTGAAAACAGATTTATTAAGGGACTGTAGGTAGACATAACTTTAAGTGGCAGCTGATTTATTAAGGGACTGTAGGTAGACATAACTTTATGTGACAGCTGATTTATTAAGGGACTGTAGGTAGTCATAACTTTATGTGACAGCTGATTTATTAAGGGACTGTAGGTAGACATAAATTTAATTGTGATAGCTGATTTATTAAGGGACTGTAGGTAGACATAACTTTAAGTGACAGCTGATTTATTAAGGGACTGTAGGTAGACATAACTTTAAGTGACAGCTGATTTATTGAGGGACTGTAGGTAGACATAATTTTCAGTGACAGCTGATTTATTGAGGGACTGTAGGTAGACATAATTTTCAGTGACAGCTGATTTAATAAGGTACTGAGGTAGACATAACTTTAATTGTGACGACTTTTGTTCCCGTACCTGAAGTCCTGGATACTGATCCTGGTAAAGCAGGGTAAATGTACCGTAGTCACTATGCTCCCCACATCTTATATAAGAGGTTAATAACAAGATGAATGAAGTTGATAGATAAAAAATTTATAAATACGTTATAGATATTAAATATATATGCGTGATCATAGAAGTGACGAGAAGGTCAATTTTGACCGGGTGAGGTTTTTTTAAAGTGCCTTTTTTCTTGAACTAAATGTTGTCTTGTCTTTTCCTGCGCTTTCCTTAGGATTTCCTGTTTTCAAAGCATATTTTATATTTGACGCAACTTCAAAATTGGGTTTTTATTTTATTTTCAATTTAAAAAAACCCAAAAAACAAGATTTTGAATTCGGAAAAAAACCAAAAGAACACCCTATAATTTAGTTTTGAATCTATAAAATTGTCAATTTTTTTGCTAGAAAAAATTCAAAGATATTGGAATCTTCTTTTAAAGATCTAAATAACTAAAACATGAAAAGTAAAGTTTTGAAGATAATTAAATAATTATGAATAACCAAAGTTTTTTAGATTTTCACGTTTTACAGGTCACCCTGTACAAAAAAAATTCAAAAATTTAATTGAATATCATTTTTTCATGAGTACAATCAAGTTTTGTTTTGACAAGATCCTTCTAAAACAACTTCACTAATAGTTACTGGTCTCGTCACTAATGGGTTAAAATAAAGGATAGGGACGCTAGATGTTGTCTTTTAAAGATTTAGGGGGGTTTTCCGTTCACAATAACGCCCAAAGAAGTTACGCGCAGTAGGCGTAGGTAGATAGATAGATAGAGCTAGATAGAGCTAGTTAGAGCTAAATAGATAGATAGATTGTTACTTAATCTTTTAATTCTTTTAAATTTTAAACATCTATTATTCAAGTTTCTTATTTTGTATGTTTTTAGACTTTTTAGATTATGCCCTGCAGATGGTTAAATAAATAAAAAATTTGGCAAAAAAAGTTTTTGTTTCACGGATTTGAGAGTGTTAGATTAAGAAGAATTGTAGATAGATAGATAGATAGATAGATAGATATATAGATAGATAGATAGACAGATAGATATATAGATAGATAGATAGATAATAGATACCTGATATATCCTGGTTTAAGCTCTCCTAGAATAGGAGGATAGTATAAGGAGCGCAAAGCAGATGCATTGTCACCTTTCAATATTCTCCTGAAATTTTATATTTTTATTTCTTTTGAAATTTCAACCATTTTGACGTAGTTGACTTAAAACCTTATATTCCTGTTCTCCTGTTCAAAACCTTTAATAACTGTTCTTCTGTTCAAAACCTTGAATACCTGTTCTCCCGTTCAAAACCTTGAATTCCTGTTCTCCTGTTCAAATCCTTGAATACCTGTTCTCCTGTTCAAAAACTTGAATACCTGTTCTCCTGTTCAAAACCTTTAATACCTGTTCTCCTGTTTAAAACCTTGAATACCTGTTCTCCTGTTCAAAACCTTTAATACCTGTTCTCCTGTTCAAAAACTTGAATACCTGTTCTCCTGTTCAAAACCTTTAATACCTGTTCTCCTGTTTAAAACCTTGAATACCTGTTCTCCTGTTCAAAACCTTTAATACCTGTTCTCCTGTTTAAAACCTTAAATACCTGTTCTCCTGTTTAAAACCTTGACTAACTGTTCTCCTGTTTAAAACCTTGAATACCTTTTCTCCCGTTAAAAACCTTGGATATCTGTTATCCCGTTCAAAACCTTGAATACCTGTACTCCTGTTCAACACCTTGAATACCTTTTCCCCAGTTAAAAACCTTGGATACCTCTTATATCGTTCAAAACCTTGAATACCTTTTCTCCCGTTAAAAACCTTGAATACCTGTTATCCCGTTCAAAACCTTGAATACCTGTACTCCTGTTCAAAACCTTGAATACCTCCTGTTAAAAACCTTGAATACCTGTTATCCCGTTCAAAACCTTGAATACCTTCTCCCGTTAAAAACCTTGAATACCTGTTATCCCGTTCAAAACCTTGAATACCTGTACTCCTGTTCAAAACCTTGAATACCTTTTCTCCCGATAAAAACCTTAAATACCTGTTATCCCGTTCAAAACCTTGAATACCTTTTCCCCAGTTAAAAACCTTGAATAACTGTTATCCCGTTAAAAACCTTTAATAACTGTCATCCCGTTCAAAACCTTGAATACCTTTACTCCTGTTCAGAACCTTGAATACCTGTTCTCCTGTTCAAAACCTTGAATATCTGCTCTCCTGTTCAAAACCTTGAATACCTGTTCTCCTGTTCAAATATGAAAAATTCTCAGATGCTCAACCCCACTGGCCACCATGGCTGATGCATTATCAAAAGCAGACTTCCTGAAATTCTGGTCTATCTCTTCCCAACTTAACTTAAACCTACCTGTTAGCCAAGCTTGGGTCTCCCCACACCTACTAGCCTGGATTCAGAACCCAATTCCTGATGATTATCTCGGTGATAGAATTCTCTCAGACATTGCTAAGCATTCACTTGTCCTTGGCATCAACTGCTAACAGGTAAACTAGGAGTTTAGGTTGCTGCGCGATTGGACTCAGCTTTGCTGGTTTGCGGTTTAGACTTTCGGTTACCTTACCATTACTATCTTACTTTGCCCCTTATTTTACCAGGCGTTACCTCACTAGGTCTTACTATCATATTGTTCTTACCTCAGCTATACAATTTCTAACAACTCTATGTAGGTAACCTCTTTGGTGAGTTTCCCCCCTTTAACCTCGATCTAGATCTAGGTGATTGGGCTAACCTCACCCTCCTACCACATCTCCTACTTCTGGACTGCATGGACATCTCCCAGGTAAGCGTGTTCATTGTTGTTTAGGTTATAGATGGCACAACTATAAGTTAAACAAATTGAAGACGACATCTGGGATGGTCCTTCAGTTCACGATGTACATACTGTACAGTACTGTAACACGTTTCCTCTCTCGGCGTGGACTCTCTCTCTCTCTATGTCTCTACCTGACTCTCGTTTACAACTCATTACCTTCTAGACCTCTACGCCGATCAGTTATTTCAGTCCCTCCATCCCTGTTCTCCTGTTAAAACCTTGAATACCTGTACTCCTGTTCAAAACCTTGAATACCTGTTCTCCAGTTCAAAACCTTGAATACCTGTTCTCCTGTTCAAAACCTTGAATACCTGTTTTCCTGTTCAGAACTTGAATACCTGTTGTTCTGTTCAAAAGTACCTGTGCTGTTTAGCAAAGAAGTCGTCATCCTTTCCAAAGTGAAGAGACAATGCTTTTAAAATCCTAAAAACAAAGTAATGAAAAACTCAGTGAGATTTAAAAAATGATCTGACTAAATTAATCTTTCGCCGAGGTGCACCAACCTTAATTGTCATACGATTTAATTCAAGTATTTTAGGAGAAGGGGGGGGGGGAGAAGAATGTAAAGAAAAATCAGTTTAGAAACTTTGAAAATTAAGCTCATTTAATAGTAATCTCATCAGTCCTGTGGAATAGGAAGACGACACCAAAGAAATCTTAAAGACATAGTCTATTCGATATTGTTTCAGGACAAAGGTTTTACTAACATATTGAAAATAAACTTTTTAAATTAAATGAGTCTGTTGTAGAGGATATGAAACCCCCAAAAGAGAATTATGAAATCCGCAAATTAGTAGTGTCGGATCTTGGAACCAGAGAATACCTACTCAACTTCCTCTCCTTTTATACACGATGAGTATTTATCATGTAATTATATCTAGACGCAATAAAAGTACTTCTAAACTGTACTCTTTGTGCCCTACTTTACTGACACGTGTCTCATGTTCATGGGACTACTGAAACTTATATCATAAATTTGAATGGCGTCTTCGTCGTCTTCGGATTTTTAACAGATAAAATATTAACTAATGACTGCGGGATCTATACCTGTAAGAAAGATTGATTGATTGATTTGCAAGAGTAACAATTGAAGTCCTAAACTCTGGATGGGTTTCATCGGGGAACCTAAATTTAAATAAATTATCATTTTTAAATTAAACACTTTGTCAAACTTTTTTGATATCAACGAAAAACAATTAAGTTTTCAAAATTGATTAAGAAGGTAAAAAAATGTTGATGCCATATTTTAGGATTAACAAAGAAGGAGTGGGGGGGGGGGGCTTGCGGCCATGAACCCTGCAATATCCTTCTTGACTCCCCCCTCCATTCTTCTTTCCTCCCCCCTCCTTGGTACCTCCCCCACTCCCCCACTCCCTTAGAATTTTTTCCCCCTCCCTTATTTTCTCCTCCCCCCTCCCATCTAATTTTCCCTCTTCCTACAATCATCCCACCAATTAATTTACTTTCCTTCCACGTAAAATTGAGTACCTCTGATGCGCCACAACAAAAATTGACTTTTATAGATGAATTCTAATAAAATGCAATTATTATTAAATATCCATTCTGTCCCCGCACGTCTAGATTTTTTAAATTTTGTTTATCGTTTATTAGATGCATGCAATTTTTTTAAAAAGTCTGAAGAATAGTCTTTGGCAGGGCTCAAGCAGTCTTTCGCGGGGCTTGAGAAGGATTCTGCATGGTTCGAGCAGGGTTCTGCTCACTACCTGAATTCGAACAGGATATTGCGGGGCTCTTGACCTTATGCCCCCCCTCCCCTCCCTTGATCAATTGCTTTGGGAAGAATTACTTTAGTTCTTTTATGAATAAAGCCGTGAGGATAGAAGACGACATATTTGACAGTGCTTGCGTATTTTTTCAGCCAAATTGCTTAGAATTTAGAATCTCATACCTTGCTTCTGAATCAAGCAGATTTACATCAAATGCTTCTCGTACCTCCATCTGAGCAATACTTCCATCTTCAGCCTAACATTTAAATATTATTCCAATATAATTAACTAAAAAGTCAAATTCCTGTTTTTCATCAATTTTCTAAAATAACAATTCAAATATTTCTTCTAAAGAAAACGAAGCGGGATTAAAAAAAATATAATTTGAGAAATTTAAAAATTACCTGATCAAAAATTTCTCTTCCTTGCGCCACCCAACCTAAAATATAAAAAATAAATGACTAAAATACGGTTTTAAAAATAGCAACTATTAACACAACTTTTACATTTACCAGGGGCATAAATAATTTACTAGGGGGGTAAAATTTAAAATTTAAAATCCCCCCCCTTCAGGGAAATTTTTACTCCCCCTAGAATCTTTTTCATATTATAAATGTTTCTATTGTCAATGGTTCAGTCACAAAGCTGTGACCAGTGTAACAAGACAAAAAAATTTTTGTCATTTTTATAAGTCGGGGAAAAATAATCAGTATTGGAGAACCCCCATTGGAGGTCTCATTGTATACCAGATTCTCGTTGGAGACCCCCATATTTTCGCCATTTTAAACTTAAATTATTTTTTCAGAAATGTTTTAAACCACTTGCAATATCTTTGAAAAACCCTACAATCGACAGATATCAGAAAAACGTGTAAAATACGATTAAAACTTTGATCAAATTCAATCAAATCGTATCAAATCGTATCAAATTGTATCAAATTGTATCAAATTGTATCAAATTGTATCAAATTGTATCAAATCAAATCAAATCGAATCGAATCGAATCAAATCAAATCAAATCAAATCGAATCAAATCAAATCGAATCGAATCAAATCAAATCAAATCAAATCAAATCAAATCAAATCAAATCAAATCAAATCAAATCAAATCAAATCAAATCTAGTTAAATTAAATTTTAAATCAAATCTTAAATCAAATCTTAAATCAAAACTTAAATCAAAACTTAAATCAAAACTTAAATCTAATCTTAATTCAAATCTTAAATCAAAACTTAAATTAAATCAAATCTTAAATCAAACCAAATCAAATCAAATCGAATCGAATCAAATCAAATCTAGTTAAATAAAATAAAATAAAATAAAATAAAATAAATAAAATAAAATAAAATAAAATAAAATAAAATAAAATAAAATAAAATAAAATTAATAATAATAATCATAATAATAATCAAAATAATAATCAAAATAATAATCAAAATAATAATCAAAATAATAATCAAAACAATAATATTTTCTATTTTCAAAATTCTGAACAATTAATACAATGTAGAACCAAAAAAATGTAAAAAATTACAGTGAAAGGAGACATTTGACTTTGAACTTTTAAATTCGCATTGTTTGTTGTTATAAAACTATAAAAATAAACTAATTAAGTGAAATGAGTCTGTACACTTCACATTTGCTGTGTCTAGAGACATGATATTTGATGTAAGAGTAGCAAATGTTTTCTTAATTTTTAATTTTTAACATTTACTTTTCTTTATGATATAACGATTGTATCTGGATAATTTTTCCTATTTTTATTTTTTAATGATAAATGTATAAATATAAGCAAACTTTAACATATAATACAGTTTTTATCTTGGAAGTTTATTGATTTTTGTCTAAAAACGATCCAAAACGATCCAAAACGAACCAAACTCCAAAATGATCCAAAACGATTTTAAACACTAGGCCTGTGTTTTAAGTTCCCTGGAGATTTAGTATGATTTATAAGTCTCACTGTAGAATAATAAAATGAGAATAATCAACCCATCATACAATGAAATAGGGAATTATCATGATAAACTCAGCGAAAAAAATATTTGATAAATCTCAAAAATACAAAAATACCTGCAAGAAGAAATCTTTACTAATTGACATTGCTTGCGTTACTAATTCTGAGTCAACTCCATGATTTTCCAAATATACAAAACCTAGAAATACATTTTTAAAAATTGTAAATAGCTACTGTAATCCTCTTCCTAACGAGTTGAATTTATATTTGATAAAATAAAATGTTGAATGTCGTCTTCCATATACTGCATTCCCGCACAATTTCTGGGGAATGGAAGACGACTTTTCTCTGGTGGACACTTACAGTGTTACCCACAAAGGATAAGACATTAGAGACGACAGTACAGAATTTTTAGTCATTTTTAACAATTTCTGTCCCCTACGGCCGTAGTAGAAAACTTGCTTTAAAATCATAGATATACAAGAATATAGATCGCTAATGCAGACTGTAAAGCTGAAAATTGTACAACCCCTTGTACATCATGAACTCGTCATTTAAAAAGGGCATTGATTACGTATTTCTTCTCGGGGTCAATCTGTAGAGTATTTTTTCACTAATTTATTTAAAGAAGTTTAATAAAAACTAGGCTTCTCCCGTAGCTTATAATTTAACCCTAAACAGGCTGGGCCGGCCATATAGTTTTTTTTTGTCCTAGCACTCATATCACCGTGAAATTTTGTGACTTTTAATGAATATTAATTTAAAGATTTTTGTAAATTCTTTTTTAATAACAAAATTATAAAATTGCCCATAACTTTTTTTGTACCATCGTATAAAAAGTTCAGTTTTCAAGAAACAAAATCATGAATATACTTGATGAGATACAGCTTTCAAGGGTACCATTGTGAATTGAAGATCCCCCCATTATAAATGGAGGATCACATGAATTCACAACTACAGTAGCTCTCGCAATCGACAGGTGGCTTTATCCTAAGAAGGAATAAGGCCCCTATTTGTAAAATAATTTTATATAATTATTCGTAATTATTATCAGAGTTTTGGGTCGTCTTTGCAGTCTGATCCTTTGTGGGTAACCCTTAACACCATTGTGTCCATAATTTCATAGGTACGTAGATTGAACACAGAGCCTAAACCTGCAACATCTGAAACATTTAAGATTTATCGACTTCCAACCATGAAAACCTGCAGTTTTTGTTTTGAAAATTTTTCCATAAATTCTAGACAATAATTGTGATAGATGTGATCGTACGAGGGAGTTTAGGAGGGGGGGCTCAATTTTTGGGTCCCCCCCCCCCCTTGGCAACATTCTTCTGAAATTTTTAGATAGAATTTACTCAATCTACATATTCACCAACTCTTTTAACCTCAGTACAACACTGTGCCTGGCCTGAGGAAGGGAAATGCAAGCAAATGTAATATTAAAAGAGCCTCCCCCATGGGTGACCCCCCCCCCCTCAGCCTCTCAGGGGGGCACGCGTAATGGGGGCTGCGGGGCGTGGCCCCCCCCTCGTACGCCATTGCCTGTCGGCCAATTATTCAGCCTGCAAAAAAAGAAGAGATGTGGTCATACTTTAAGAAAGATGATAACGATACGCCAACCTAAAATACATGCCATTCAGTCTTCTTAAATGTAAAAAGGATTATATAGTCTTGATGTAAATTTCAATTAATAGACTGACACATTCAAATCTCAAAATCAGAAAGACAATATCAAAAATGTAATAAAACTGTAGTCCTAAAAAGACCAATGAAAACTATCTAGAATTTTCGTACAGGTTTAAACTTCTGTGGGGGTCTCTAGCGTTATTCTTATGCACTACATCAGAAAAATGTTCAAGTATGCTGAGAAACCCGGTTCTTAATTAAATTTCGTGGATTTTATTAAAATAATTCGTTCATTTGTAGAGAAATTGAATCACATTTGTTTTAAAATATTGCACAAGATATAGATTATTGTTTAAATTGAAAATTAATAAAAGGAGGTGAAGAAATAAAAAAAAATGTTTAACAAATTTGCTAACGATTTTTAGCTTTTATCATGATACTGAAATCCATTTCTGGCTAAATTGCCCTTTTCATTTCAACTGTAACCCTCCGGTATTGTGAAGACGACATGAGCGATCTATATTCTTGTATATATCATATGTTTAAAATACTATTTTTATAAAAGATTACAAAAAGACCTACAAAATTTCATCTATATATATTTCAAGAATTTCGAGTCCTCATTAGATCTCCTTCTTTGTGGGTCAGACTATAATTTATTGTTAAATCTCACATTAGCCTTCTTACCTATATGTTTAAATGCTTCATTTAACTTTTTTCCAGACTCCAAAAAGTCATTTCGTGTAGGAACATCGTTTTTTAACCCTGAACATGATTATTTATATAATGGTTCATAACCAGAGGCGTATGCAAACGGGACGGGGGCGGCTACGGGGGATAATTGTTACCCCGCCCCCGCCCCCCCTGGAGAAGTTAGAACTGTGCCCCCCATCCATTTTAATTTGTTTCAAAAAAAGCCCCCCCCCCCTGCACAATTATTCCTGTATACGCCTCTGTCTATGACATTTAAAGATATTTATTTAAAATGTTTTATTATTTAATTGAAATACAACCAGAAGAAAATTGATTATCAATAAACATGCATTTAAAGATTATGTTAGGATATAATTCAAAGTCTGAATCTGGGGCAAGCGACGCAGCTTTAGGACCTTATGGTATTATTTCCAGAAAATCTCTGGTCTGTCGTAAAACTCTTTTTGCCCCCCCATCTATTTTGTATTAAAAAGCGTTCTTAAGGATATCATTACCAAAATCTCTAAATAAATTGAGTTTTATTTAAGTTTTACCTATTTCTGTGATATCGACCACCATTATTTCAAGATCATCAGTCATTTTAGATACTGATGAAAACTTTTAATTATAAAAAACTATATAATGGATCAAATAATATCAAAATATGTTGATTTCGTGCCTACACGCTTATTTCTTGATCTCAAATCCAGACAAAAATCAAAAAATTAATTTTACTTTAACAGTTTGCTCATTTTATTTACTAATAAAACATTGAAATATTAATATTAATATTAATCATCGCATATATAAATATTCCTTAAATATAAATTGCCTCACTTTCTGTGGTTTTCAATAAACTAAATAAACTGACTGAGTACATCTGTTTAGTTTACGTGTTTGCAGGAACCGGTTCAATCTTGATAAATTTCAAATGTTTATCATGACCTTCTCTATTTCTTTATCACATTTTTAAAATAATCACATGAACATTAACTTGGTTAATTTTATAAAACTTTTGAGGAATTTGGACTATTGAAAGGTTCACAAAAATCTGAGAATCATTTTTTTATTTCCTGCTATTATTATTGATCTTTTAGTAAATAATGCTCCATAAATCATCCTAATTTTTATGTTTATTTTTAGAGTTAAAAATAAAAGTATACCATAAGTCCCATAAGAAGACTGAAAGTAAAAAAAAGGAGTAATTTTGTTCAAAATAAAAAAAAATGAAAAAATACTTCCAATCTACGATAATTTAGTTTTCTTGGGCCGCTTGAAAAAAGGCATTCATTGTTGTTCGAACTTGAGGCAAGCCTCTTAATTTGGGTGCATCACCATTAATACCAGCTGGACCAACATGTTGGTGGTCAGAGATGACCTGCTCCAGGTCAGTATTCAGAGTGATGATTTTGTAAAAATCCATGGGGGGGGGAGGGAGGGACTGCCTATGGTTCCCTCCCTCATCCATTATGATCTAGAACGCAAATTCTAACATAAAAACAATCAGATCAGCATACTATAACAAAAAGAAAATCAGATCAGCATATTCTAACATAAAAACAATCAAATCAGCATATTATAACATAATAACAATCAGATCAGCATATTCTAACATAAAAACAATCAGATCAGCATATTATAACATAAAAACAATCAAATCAGCATATTATAACATAAAAACAATCAAATCAGCATATTATAACATAAAAACAATCAGATCAGCATATTATAACATAAAGAAAATCAGATCAGCATATTCTAACATAAAAACAATCAGATCAGCATATTATAACATAAAAACAATCAAATCAGCATATTTTAACATAAAAACAATCAAATCAGCATATTATAACATAAAAACAATCAGATCAGCATATTTTAGCATAAAAACAATCAGATCAGCATATTACAACATAAAAACAATCAAATCAGCATATTATAACATAAAAACAATCAGATCAGCATATTATAACATAAAAACAATCAAATCAGCATATTATAATATTAAAAACAATCAAATCAGCATATTATAACATAAAAACAATCAGATCAGCATATTATAACATAAAAAACAAGCAAATCAGCATATTAGAACATAAAAACAAAATAAATAAATAACGAAATTTAGGCCGTTCAAAATTTATTTTTATTAACTCGTAAATAGATATTATTCTTACATTGTACTAGTATCAATTCAAACGGGTGTCCCAGAAAGTAAATTATATTTATAAATGCTTAAAGTTAATTGGGACACCCCTTTTTAAATGAATAATATCAAACATAAACTTTATATTAAGAAGATTATAAAGTACATGTGCGTATTCTAGTACCACAAATAGTACTCAAAGTATCCACAAGTTTTTAACAATTGCTACCATCACGTAAGCAGACAAAATTTGTTTTACAAAAATGTCAAGAAAAACTCCTACGACTATGGACTAGTTGAAATTTACCCAAAATAAATATAATTTTCATATAAAATTTAGTTGTGAAACAAAAGCTTCACAATTTGGCTGGGTTTGGCACACTAAGGAAGAATCCAGAAGGTTGAAAAGGAAGATTCATCTCCCGCCATTTTGAAAAGATTTCGCGCGTCTTTCCATCCATCTTATCCGCCATTTTGATTAACCATGTTTTGGTGGGATTTATTTCTTCGGCATATACCGCTTGATAGACTTCAGTATATTCAACCTAAAATTTAAAAATAAGTGAAAAAAGAAATTTTTCAACATGTTTTAAATCTAAAAAATCTAAATTATAGTACCTGTGTACTATTTTTACAACACCAAGGCGTTCCCAATCCCTGTTGTCCAAGGTGGCGAGGCGGGCCCCGTTTACACCACTATCTCGGAATGCCGCCTAAAATAAATGAAGAATAAACATTTAGAGTAAAAAAGTTAAATATGATTGACTAATCCTTAAATATACTTATATTCAATTCAAAAACATGTAAGTATAAAGAGGCAAGTACATGTCATAACAATTGTTTAAATCTTAAAAAAACTTAAGTAAGTTTACTTTTTTATTCTACATGTTTTTTATATGTCACCTTATATTCTGGAATAAAAAGTGAGTCCAGCCAATCACATACATCGGATTCACTCCATTCCAACAGACTCCGAGAACGGAAATCTAAAAAGAACATTTTTATAAAATGGAAAAATTTAGTTTATTCTTTGAGTACATAAAAGAATTTTATTTTTAATTGATATTAGTTTTAAAATTATTGAAACGAAAAAGCAAATCTTATCAAATCAAAAACAATTTGAACTCGAATATGAATTTATCAAAACCTATTTCTATGATTCCAAATCAACACCTCCTCCCGCCGTATATGCCAATAGTCGATTAAATTAACTACCAATTAGGAGAGATGAATTCAGTAATCAATTAATAAACAAATAAAAAACAATCACATATATCTTCTTACAAACAGATATTTGTCTAATAGGGGAGGACTGGAGGGTTGGTGAAAGAACAGGGTGAACAGTTGAAGTCAAATTTTAAATCAAAATTATAAGTGCCATTCATGATTAACATTTGTAACCTTACTTAAATTCACAGCTTGCGACTGCGGATTTTTAGGAAAAAAATCATAGATTTCAACAGAAAATGAAACATGAAAATGCTAAAAAAAAACGATTCTTCAAAAACTTCCTTTAATAAGAAATAATTTACATAAAAATGTTTATAATATAAAACATTTATTTTGTCCTTTACCTGAATTTATTCGTTTAACATCGACTGTTCCTCTCTCACGCGCCGATACGGCTGGATTTATAGCTCTGGAAACCCTAGATGCGCCAAAGCGCTGGAATCCGCCACCGGCCTCCGAACCAGGATCGGAGGTCAAGGATAAATCAGAGTCGGAGAAACCGGGAGGCGGAGCCAGGAGGGGCGGAGACTCGTCAGAACGAGGTGAGGGGCAGATAGACAGGGAGGGTGTGGCGGAGGAGGGCGGGGGAGGAACGCCCTCATAAAGCTCTGGTTGGTTCAGGTCCTGAAATCAGATAAATAAAATCGTAAAATATGCAATTCTCTGGAATTACCATTACATGGTGATTAATCAGCGCTAAACTCTCATATTTTTACCTTTACATAATGATTAATCAGCGCTAAACTCTCATATTTTACCATTACATGATGATTAATCAGCGCTAAACTCTCATATTTTACCTTTACATGATGATTAATCAGCGCTAATCTCTCATATTTTCCTTTACATAATGATTATTTAGCGCTAAACTCTCATATTTACCTTTACATGATGATTAATCAGCGCTAAACTCTCATATTTTACCTTTACATGATGATTAATCAGCGCTAAACTCTCATATTTTACCTTTACATGATGATTAATCAGAGCTAAACTCTCATATTTTACAATTACATGATGATTAATCAGCGCTTAACTCTCATATTTTACCTTTACATGATGATTAATCAGCGCTAAACTCTCAATTTTACAATTACATGATGATTAATCAGCGCTTAACTCTCATATTTTACCTTTACATAATGATTAATCAGCGCTAAACTCTCATCTATAGTTCTACATCTATCCAATACAGAGGTCGACATCCCGTTCTTCAACTGCGCTCGTCCAGACGTCATTAAACTCTCTACACGGGACAGCGTTGAACTCTCCTGACAGAAGGAGCGCGACATCCTGTCGTCACTGCGGAATGGTCGACGGACGTTGACATGATCGCCGAGTTGAGGTAGACTGAAATAATATCAATGATAATAATAATAAAATGAAAAGATAAAAAATAGTATATATATTAATAATAATTGTCGATCTGTTTGTATATGTCCGATCATAACTATCATAAACCCCCTAACCTGATTTGCCTCTAATTTTGATTTTGATTAATCCGATATAACCACAGAAATGTTTTTAGATTGGTCTAAGAATTGTTTAGGTCTCCTGGCAAAGCTGGGTTCCCAAGCTAGTAATTGATTTGTTCAATAATAATAATGAACCATTGTTTTACCTTTTTTCAAGTTTAATTGCTGAGTTTTGATAATGATTCTCCTGGGACCATTCTATCTCAACAGGTTCTAAAAAAGATACAGTTTTTGTTTTGTTTAAATTAAAATAGTTCACTTTAAAATAGGTGCTATCTCAGTTCTGAAATCCCGCTTTGTGCAATTATCATTAAAAGGGCACTCCGCACTAGATCAAAGAAAAATTATCTTTTCTCATTTATAACTTTAGAAGCTTTGAGATAGATAGATAGACAGATCTACTTGTTATAAATGTCTAACTAAATAATTTACAACTTGTATCAATAAAGATAATTGCCAGCATTAATACAGAACTAAACCGACAGATAAATTAGCCTTTTACAAGGATATGCATCACTCACTCACTCACTCACTCACCCTCTCACTCACTCACTCACTCACTCACTCACTCACTCACTCACCTTTTCTCAAAGTGTTTGCATTGTACTGTTGACTAGGAAGTGTACTGCCACTGTGTACTGCAGAATGACCAGATATAGATTGGACAGACAAACCATTATATGATCCTTCTCTTTTCATCTCCTTCTCCTGCATTTTCAGAAATTCAAAAAATATTCTTTTTTATGTAAATGTTCCAAATAAGACATTTTAATAGTATAAACAAATTGAATCCTTTAGGTTTATTTGTTATAAATTTTATACCTTAGACGACATCATGTTCATATTTCGTCCATTCAAATCTTTCTCGGACTGCAGGATCCATGTTTTATCAGTCAAATCGTCCGAGTGGGACGAACCAGTTCCTGAGCTTTGGGAATCGTCGTCCGTAGTGCGTGGCCATCGATCTGTTGACCGACCCCAGGGTTTGCCCGCGGGCACAGGAGGTAGAGACAGGGGAGATACAGTCAACTGTGTTACAAAATCAGAATCCTAGAAAGAAACAAAATTCATGATTAAAAACAAGAACTAAAGAAAGGTTAAAAGAAGGTGTAAAATTTAATAAATATGGAAAAATTAAAAAGAAAATTGAAAAACGCCTGAAGGAAATATTAACAATGCGATCGAACTTGCATTAGTAAAAGTAAAAGATTAAAAATGAAACAGACCCTGCTTATAAAAAAGATGCAAAAAAAGAAGGCAAATATATTTCTGCATAAAAAGACTCAGCTGATAAAAAGAAAGCAAATATATTTCTCCATGAAAAGACTCAGCTGATAAAAAGAAAGCAAATATATTTCTTCATGACAAGACTCAGCTGATAAAAAGAAAGTAAATATATTTCTTCATGACAAGACTCAGCTGATAAAAAGAAAGCAAATATATTTCTCCATGAAAAGACTCAGCTGATAAAAAGAAAGTAAATATATTTCTCCATGAAAAGGCTCAGCTGATAAAAAGAAAGTAAATGGTTATCTTCAGGAAAAAACTCATCTGATAGAAATAACGATAAAAGAAGAATATGATAATCAATAAAAAAGACCCAAAAGGAAAACAGATGGTCCAAGCTGATAAAAAGCTAATAAAATAACTACCTGATGAATATCCTGATCACTGCTAACCCCTGATGATGAATTATCCTGTTCATCAACTATATCAGGAAGGGACCTGGAGGACTTCAACTGGGACCGAGCCTGACATTAGATAAGTCCGTAATTCAAGTTATTTTTAAAATGTCACACTTTTTAAGGGACTATGACTTTAGTTTCAGACTTCCTTCCCTTTAAAGAAATGCATGTTTGTTTTACGATGGTACTTTTAAACCCTTTCTCTGACAATGACGATTTATATGAAATATGATGGACGCCTCAATCATTCATGACTCATAATTAGCTAAAGCTTTTAAGGATATCCGTTGTTAATTGAACATGCCAGTTTAAAAATGAAGGATCATTTGAAATTACATAATCAGAATTTCAAATTCAATCCAATTTGTAATTATGAAATGTCATAGGAAATTTTGAATTTCAGAGCTGGAAACTCTCGAATTTTGGATATAGAGATCAATACTTGGTCTGATTTTTTTATTAATCTGCAGATTAATTTAATCTTCATTTGATATTTGGAAAAGTGTCATAACAACCTATCAGGAGCCGGATAATTTTCCCCACGACCAATGAAAAACTTTCATTAGTCGGAATCCAGCAGGGATATCGAAAAGAGAGGATTAAGCAGAACATCATTTAAGTGTTCAGCGTGGATATCATATAAAAATCATATAAACTTGAGCGGGTTCTTTTTAAAACGCTAGAATATTTTCCTTCCGCTTTATTTCCAAAATTATGGAATTCGATTGAATTAGAGCTTAAAGAAACTAAATCTGCAAAACTGTTTGAAAAAAAAATCTTCAAAAACTATTTGGATAGTTATGCAAGTTTGTTGTATCTGTAAAAAAAAAATAACTGTTTCTCATGTGGATAAACTTAGTCTTTGCTATCTTCTTCACCCTGTAGTTCATAAACATGATTCTAAATTGTATGTTACCCTCTGTTAAAACCATCCCGCTGAGTACCCACCCTTTCCCTGATACTTTTTCACCCCCTCCTTACCTTATTCATGATTTATCATCATTGTTTTGTTTAAAATGTACACTGTACAGTGTACATCAATCTATTTATTTACAATTCTTATTCGCTTATAATGGGCCAACCAATCAAACACAACCAACTCTGGTTAGGCGGGTCCAAACTACATAGTAAATTGTGATTTGTTATTTGTATTATCTCGTCCGTTGTAGTTGAATAAAAGCATGAAAATATGAAATATCGAGATGACAACATAAAGACATCATAAAACAAAGACGACAATGATTCCACTGTTTTCTGGTGACCACTGTAGGAATTTTACCTTCTGAATATCTGATTTATTGATCAGAGAATCCGAACCATGATCCCTGGGTTTAAGATCAATATTGTTCTCCGAGTTGGTCCTCGGACTCGAGGATTTCCCGTGGTTGATGGTTTGCTTGACATGGTTTGGACTGGTTTGGTTCGCCTGGTTGGTCGGGTTCAGATGGTTGGAGAAACTGATGGATTTTGCCAGGGTGGGGGTGGATGGTTTCTGCACCTAAAATATACAGGGTGTTACATAAACGTTTTTCTTGAATCATTTAAAAAAGGTTTAACTAAGATTAAATATGGTCGTCACAAACTGGTTTCAATGAAAAATAATTACAAAAAAAATAGTAAAAGTGAAAATGATAAGTTTGAAAAATATATTAGTAAACAGGGAATCAAAAGAATCCGAGCAAAAATCAAATCAATCAATCAATCAAATAATCAGACTTTTAGAGATACCCTATGACCACATCAAAATCTCGTCAGGACTTGAACTAATCTGAGATTTAAGCATATGTTTGCAACATCAGATCGAACATTTTAAGTTATGTTTGCAACATCAGATCGAACATTTTAAGTTATGTTTGCAACATCAGATCGAACATTTTAAGTTATGTTGGCAACATCAGATCGAACATCTTAAGTTATGTTTGCAACATCAGATCAAACATTTTAAGTTATGTTTGCAACATCAGATCGAACATCTTAAGTTATGTTTGCAACATCAGATCGAACATCTTAAGTTATGTTTGCAACATCAGATCGAACATTTTAAGTTATGTTTGCAACATCAGATCGAACATTTTAAGTTATGTTTGCAACATCAGATCGAACATTTGAAGTTATGTTTGCAACATTAGATCGAACATCTTAAGTTATGTTTGCAACATCAGATCAAACATCTTAAGTTTTGTTTGCAACATCACTGTACACTGTACACTGTACACTGTACAGTGAATATATATCTATTTTTAATCTTATTTTTATCAGATTATCCGAATTTATCTTGAATATATTGGATATTCAATAAATATAGAAAATAAATATATTAAAAATAAATATATAAATATATAAAAACACAAAATATAAAAAAGAAGGACTGGCAAAGAAAAAATATTATTGGTAAAGGAATTGAGTCAAAAACTCTGATTTCTTACTCCCTAGATCTTTGCAACCCAACGTAGTAGACCTTAATAGTTTCAAACTTATAATTCTAAAAGATAAAATAATCTAAGTTTGAAATGTTAAGATTTATACCATCAGGTTGCAAAGATAAAGGGATTAGACCAAGTGCCAAACCCTTATCTTTATAAGGTATGAAATGATCATACTAAAATCTAGATTTATGAATAAAAAGCAAGGCTATAATATAGGAAGGATTGTAAGAGAAAAGATATTGCAAGTAAAGGATTGTCAAAGCAAAGATTCTAAAATAAGTACTTTAAAAATAAAGATACTAAAGTATGGATTGTAAAAAACAAGGTTACTTTAGAAAAACCAAGGATAATAAAAACAAAGATTGTTGAAGTAAAAATACCAAGATTAAAAGCAAATATTGTAAGAGCAAGGATACTAAAAAGCATGGATTGTAAAATCAAGCATACTAAAAATAAGGACTGTAAAAACAAGGAAACTAAAAATAATATCTGTAATATATGAAGCATAGATTGCAAAAGGAATGATACTAAAAGTAAGGATTGTATAATCAAGGATACTAAAGGTAAGGATTGTAGAATCAAGGATAATAAAAGTAAGGAATGTAAAATAAATGATATAAAAATCAAGGATTTTTAATTTTTACCTGATTTCCAATTTCAATTCTTATTTTTGAATTCGAAGTTAATGTTGGCTGCACCGTCATTTCAACACTTCGTTGATCGTTTCCAGGATGGGCGGGCTGCCACACCTCATACTCAGGTTCCTCCACCCACTCAGGGTGGGCGGGCAAACTACCGCCCTCCCACTCCAGGTGCGGGGGTATAACTCCTCCCTAGAGATAGTTTGAATTAAAAAAGAATTATTTTAATTCAAATCCAATCCAATCCGATCCAATCCAAAGTTTTGTTTGTTTACCTTTACAACCGGTTTCTTCTTTGTGGCAAACATAGATTCCTTCACCAGACTTGATTTCGGCGGTGTTGATTTGGCCGTCGGCGGTGGCGGGACAGATTTTGTTGGCGAACGGCGGGTTGGTCGCCAACAGCCCGGTTCTTCGCCGACATCTACATGGTGCTTAGTGTCCTAAATAATTGTGTTAATAAAGAATTGAATTAAAACTCAATCAAACAGGTTTTATAAAAAAAGGAAATCCAAGTTATTTAACAGGAAATCACATTTTTTCGTTATCTGCAAAATTGGTGAAGTTATTCTAATTTATTAAATAATACTCTACCTTCAGTATACTATCCTTTTTAGTCATAGTTCCCGAGCTATGAATAATATTTGCAATATCTTGGTTCATGATAAAACTTACAGTTTTCTTCTTCTTACGCTCATTCCTCTGATTCCTCCTAGATTATAATGATGATAATAATAATAATAATGATAATAATAATAATAATAATAATAATGATGATGATAATAATGATAATAATAAAAATAAAGATAGAATAATATTAATAATGAAAGTGAAACAAAATGATGATAACCACAATAATAACAAATCTGCGATAACCAAGACCATCCAGAGAAAGTACATTTAATTTAAAATTTTATTTATGAATTTCCCGCAAAATATTTAATAAATTTTTCATCATTCACATTGCACAATGCACATTGCACACTGATGGTGGAATGAATTTTTAAGAATATATTTATTTCTGTCAAGAGCTAAGTTTTACTTTGACGTCAATTTGTAAAATTCAGCCATGTTGCTATTTTAAGAACAAAATAGTGAATGAATTTATGAAGCCTAAAGTAGAGTATATAACTGTCTTCAAATTGATAAAATAAAGTTCAGAATTTGAATTAGAACTTCAAAGGAGAAGGTTTTCAATCTGATCATCATCAAAATCTCAAATTCAAACTGCACTTAAAGAAATAACTAAAAGTATGAATACATTTTTTAGAATTTAAATTTTTCTACCAAAAAGTCCAGAGTTAGAGAAACCATACTTTTTGCAGCAAATGATTGTTTATTTTTATTTTCAAAATGCATTTTCTTCTTAAAAAATTGAGTAGAATTTGTGTGCACAGTTTGAAGTTTTTGCCAATTTTTTGTATTCCTTAAAATTGCGCAATGATGTTGAGAACCAGAGATAAGAGTTACAGAGCTAAAATATGCGATATTTTCCACAGAATGTTCTATGGTGTACAAGTACTGTACACGACCAATCAGCAATTACATCTGTATTCAGGGATATTTAAGGATCCTTTGGATACGGAACGCAAAATCTTCAAAAAAAAGACTGAATTCATAAATGTTATGTTTCATGTTTAAAATTGGAGTGTTTCTTTAAAAGTTGTAAAACTTAACCCCTGAATGGGTATTATGTTGAACAAGAGGCCGTGAGATGGCACTCTAAAAACATATCATAAAAAGGTAGCATGTCGTGCCGGGTCAACTTAGGCCTACGTAGCCCACCCTGTGAAAGGAGATAAGCAGTCTGTGTAGTCTGTGCACAGAACAAAATGTGTACAGCAAAAAAATATCAACAAACTCCAAACTGGAATAGGGGAGGGGGGGGGGGTACCTGAGAGTAGCAGTATCCCTAAACTGCTCCTGATCCTGTCTCCAGCTTGAATCAGACCCGGAGTAGGATCCGTTTTCACAGTTCTCCAGGTCCGAGATATCATAGTCAGGTTCAGGTATATGAGGAACACCTCCTGGATACACACCAGGGTAGGGTTCAGGGGTTCCAGGGCCCGGGTACTCCTGGTAAGGTGGTTCAGGGCCCGGGTACCCGGAGTAGGTAGTTTCTTGATCTTCCTCAGGGGTAAGTTCATTAGTTGGAGTTCGGGAACTATCTTCTTCATCATCAAACCTGAACAAAAATGGAATCATGAACATGGAAATGAAATGTTGACTAATAATCAAATAATTATGAACATTAAAAATTGAGTTATAAACGAATTGTTCAAATATATACATCAAAATATTCAATTAAAATCATCACAAAAATTTATTCACGAGAATAAAAAATAATTATAAATAATGTAGTTTCTAAATAAATAATAACGACAAAAAATACATATTAAGATTAAAAAGATTTGATGAAAACTGAAATCGTTGACTTCTCAAATGAAGTTTTTTATTAATTTTTTTATATATTCAGTAATGCACTGCAAACTGTACTGTACTGTACTGTACTGTACTGTACTGTACTGTACTGTACTATACTGTATTGTACTGTAGTGTATACCTTGTATCTGTATCTGGTGTAAGAGGGCTCCTAAATGTTGTATAGGTTGTGTAGTTTACTCCATTTACTTTGTACCGTTCTACCCCTCCCACAGGTTCCTACACAAATAAACAATTGTACACATGTATCTCCTACTGTACCGTAGTACAAGCTCTGTACGATATACATACCATGGTGTAACTCCATTTCAAGAGTTTGGTAAAAAATAGTATCATTTAATCTGAGTGAAAATTACAAAAATAATATTTTTTTAATTGTTGGTTTCTTTACAAAAAATGACTTAATTTATGCATCAGAGGAAAGGCGGAGAATTTCTAGAATTTAACAACTTTAAAGATAAAATACGACAATTTTTTTCTCATTGGTAATCAGAGAAAGATTTAAGGTACCGTAAACAGTCCCTTTAAAAATATGATGCAAAACAGAGTAGTATCTTAAGCATTGAGGGGCGGGNGTGGGGGGTTAAATGTAACAATGGGTATTATATTCATAAAGTACAGATGTTATGCATATGAAGATGGAATGCGTTGAAAAATATATTGAATATCACGATTCGTAACCTTTTATTAATAAATAGCAGTTGTTTATAGACTTTTAAGAAGTTTTTTTTATTTCTTGATATTTTATAAGTTTCAACAAAATATTTTCCAGTATCTTAAGCAGTAGGGCTTAGAAAGTTAGGAAAAATTATCAATAAATGAAAATTTTTTGTAAAAAAATATATTTTTTTATCAAATTAAAAAAATCGTTGTTATTTTCTCTCTGTACTAGCACTAGGCAACATCAGATCGAACATCTTAAGTTATGTTTGCAACATCAGATCGAACATTTTAAGTTATGTTTGCAACATCAGATCGAACATTTTAAATTTTGCAAACATTTTTGCATATTTGAAATGGCATGGTCAAGGGCTTTTCAAAAATGTATAATTTTTCATTTTTTGGGCAAATTTTTTTTTTGCAAACATTTTTACTATATAACTGGATTTTGCGATAAAAAATTCAATTTTTGCAAATTTGCAATTTTTTTGCAGATTCTAAAAGTAGAGCACAAGAGCTTTCATTTGTCATGTATCATGTATCATTTGTCATATTTGGACATCAATATCCTGGTTTTCAAGTACCCCAGCGGGGATAGGGTTAAAGATATCATGTACGATTTTCAACAGTCAAATCAAATCAAATCAAATCATATCAAATCATATCAAATCAAATCAAATCAAATCAAATCAAATCAAATCAAATCAAATCAAATCAAATCAAATCCTTTAGACCTTTAATTGATCCAAAATAAGATATTATCGTTTAATTCTGTTTAATTCTAATACTTGGCTCCTCTTATTTCTACAGGAAACACGCACAAACACATGTTTGTAGAAGAACAATAATATAAAAACATATTTATTCTTGATTAAACAAAAATTGTATTGTTGTGAATCGGACATGGCAATGTTTTCTAAATTACGCAAACAGTCCCTTTTCCTTTAAGACAGGTTTAGATAAAGTTGTGTAGACAGATGAATACCGAAAACAGTCCCTTTAAGACAGGTTTAGATAAAGTTGTGTAGACAGGTGAATACCGAAAACAGTCCCTTTAAGACAGGTTTAGATAAAGTTGTGAAGACAGTTGAATACCGAAAAGGAAAGACGTATAATCAGATCGTGTTCTAATATTTAATCATGTTGACGCAATCACACAATTAATCTACGCAATCAAACACATTTATATACGCAAAACATGACAGCCGGCCCAAAATACGTAACACGGAACCCCGTTTGAATTAATATATTTAGAGATTTTATCAAATACCGATTAAAGAAAACAAACCATTTATTTTTAACAGTGAGCCTCTTGAAGAACAATTAAGTCAATTCTCCTTTATTCTATCTATTTAAGGTGATATCAAAACATCAAATTTTTCTCTTTAAATTCTTGTTTTTGTTTTAAGCAGTGCTTAGGATCCATTTAATTTTGATGCGGATCCGGATCGGGGTCATTTCTCTAAGATTTACTGATTTTTTAAACAAAACAGAATTTTCAAATTTTTGTTTTACTTTTTGCTTATTTTTATGCTAAAACTTGATGAACCATTCAGAAATAAGGAATTTTTTATTAAACTCTCTTTTTTCAATAATTCAGATTTGGGTTTTAAGCGTAAAGATTATTTTTTTGTAGTTTTTGGTTAATATTTTGCCTCTTTGATCCGGATCCGTAGATCCGCATATTTATCCGGATCCGGATCCAGGTAGCCAAAATCTTGCGGACCGGATCCTAAAAATTTGCCCCTTTGTTGTTTCAACTTTTGCTTTAATCTAACTTGATTTGTTTACACTTTTCTATCTTATCTTCCTTCATTTTTTCGTTATTTGAATTTCTTATAAAATCAAGAATCTTGCCCCCCTTCCCACCCCCACACTCAGCCTCTTCTCTATCTAATTATCTCTTTTGTTCTTCTATCTTCAAACTTGACTCTGACCCCCTGTTACACTTCCTTGTCCCCGCCCTTTACAGGGTGTCTCATATAAAATGGTCCCAGTTTAAGTCAAATACAGAGTATTACTGTCCAACCATTATTGTCTTCTGAAATGGGGTTATTAACTACTAAATACAGGCTGACCCGAAATATAATCCTTGATTCTGTATTTTATCTGAGCCACCCTGTAGGATATATTAAACCCCCATTGATGTCTCCTGTTTTAGTTTAGAATAGAGGCGTCAAACTTAGTCTAAACTTAAAACTGTATAAATTTGTTAAATACAAAGCATTAACAGTTTAAATTTATTACACAAGTCAGTTCTATGAGGGCTGCAGGAGCATTTAACGTTTTAAACCAGAAATTAATTTATATTATTACCCCCCCCCCTTAAACATATCCACCTACGCTCACTCAAAACCTTTTCAAAGGATTCAATAACGAAGGGTGTCGATGCATTCATAGCATTAATCATTGCAACTGTTCTTTGTAGAGACGTTTTGCATTTTTCAATATATTTGCTTAACTGCCTGAAATTGGCCTGAAAACAGATAGTTCTAAAATGATGTGGGATTTAAAAAAAGATGGGGATACATAAAATTTTAGGGTACTTCAACTCTTTTTAAAACTAGGGGTTTTGAGGGACGAGGATATAGGTGGGTTGGCAAAAATGAGGTTTGATGTTAGAACTTAAGGGGTTTTGAGGGACAAGGAAACAAGTTAGGGCTATGGTTTGATGTTGGAAAAAGGTGGTTTTATATACCTCAACTCGTTTGAGAACTAGGGGTTTTGAGGGACAAGGAAACAAATTAGGGCTATGGTTTGATGTTGGAAAAAGGTGGTTTAATATACCTCAACTCGTTTTAGAACTAGGGGTTTTGAGGGCCTAGGAGGAAGAGAATGCGTCCGAGTAGGAGAACGTTTTTTGGCACCAACATCATCACTTTTTACAGAACTCTAAACAATATAAATAAAATCAATAAAAGATCGAAAGCTTTAATATAGTTGTTACTTCTATAAATTTTTCTTTCTATTTTTTCTTTCTAATTTCTCTTATCCCCACAAAGTTTTATTAAGCTACATAAAATTTTTTTAAAAAACGTATTAAGTGCAAAATAATACTTTTTTCTCTCCTCATATCAAATATCAAAAATAAAAGTATTTAGTTATTTTATTTGTTTTGCCTCAAATATAAAACATCATTATTTAACAAGTGAATCAAATCAAACAAAAAAGGAAGACATGTACAGGAAGCAATAAAGTATGTACCTTGTACGCAACATCAGGAATACCCTTGGGACTCTCGTAGAGCCGGGCATTGACCGCTGGTTTGAAACTACTCGCCGGCCCGGTCACCGGAGATACCTAAACCAAAAGAATTTGATCAATAAAATCACTAGTCACTAGATAAACAAGGGGTAAAAAGGTTACCATATGTTTTAAGATGTCGAAAAGGTCATATTAGATCAGAAAGTCGAGATAAAATTAAGAGGACCGCCAGATGCTTTAGAAGTCAGGAGATAACAAGGTTAAATGCTCAAGAGGTCATTTATATAAGAGATCAAATGCTCAGGAGATCAGATGCTCAAGAGGTCAAATGCCAAAGAGATCAAATGCTCAAGAGATTAGATGCTCAAGATATCAAATGCTAAAGAGATCAGATGCTCAAAGAGGTCAAATGCCAAAGAGATCAAATGCTCAAGAGATTAGATGCTCAAGATATCAAATGCTAAAGAGATCAGATGCTCAAGAGATCAGATGCTCAAGAGATTAGATGCTCAAGATAACAAATGCTAAAGAGATCAGATGCTCAAGAGATTAGATGCTCAAGATATCAAATGCTAAAGAGATCAGATGCTCAAGAGATTAGATGCTCAAGAGATCAAATGCTAAAGAGATTATATGCTCAAGAGATCAAATGCTCAAGATATCAAGAACTGAAAGAAATCAGATGCTCAAAAGGTCAAATGACCAAGATGCGAAAGAGGTAAGGCCATGAAGAGCTAAAACTCTTGAAAGTTCAAAATTCTAAAATTAACCTTAGCGTAGTCCGGGTTAGTCCCACTCAAGGTTCCAGGGCTCGGTTCCCCTCGCCTCCGCTAGTGGGGCTAGAAAAATCCGCTGTAGGTACTCGAATCTAAAAAATACAAATATTATTTATGTAAAAAAAAATAGCTAACGGGACTATAACGTTGGCTGAATTTTATAAGCCCCTCAATAAAAATAAGCGGCATATCCGATTCTCATCAGTACCCGGCCTTGATACCTTTTTCTGATCAATTATTTTCCTAGCTGATAATTATTTTTGCTATAGAAATAATGAAGGAAATTAACAAAATTAATCATTTTTTAGATATCATTCTCATTGTTACTTAGATGGAACTTTGAAGGGTACTGTTGTAAATGAGACATACCATTCTAGGAGGTTCCCTCTTAGCAAATTATTGACCCACCTGAACCGGTCTTATCCTGGTGACTGTTCTATAAACCTCCTCCTCCTTCAAATAATCCTCTTTCCCCGCCCACTGGCCACGCCTACCTTTACTGGGTAGGGTGTAGTACCCAGTGTGATTGGATCCATCCTACACAAATAAAAAAAAAATTTAAATCAAAATAATAATAATCAAACAATTTGTGTAATTCACAACGGTACCATTAAAAGTCTTGTCTGGACTAGACTAAAAGGAGATATTCAGAAACTGACTTGCCGATTTTTTGCTCCAGAAAAAATTGCGAAAGTTGTCAGAAATCAACATTTTTTTAAACAGTGATTCACTTGAAATTACATCACGCTTATACTTTAATGTACACATGGATTCTTTTTTCTTTTTCTGGATGTTATTTTAGTTTAACCTTTAAGTCTGTATGAGGGGTGTGGTGTAAAGAATTCAAATTCTCCTGACTAACACTTCGTCTGGTCATTACAACCTCTTCTAGAAATATAATTAATATATTATTTTACATTTGGAGGAAAGTTTGGTTGAGTTCAAGCTAATTGTGTTGAAGGAAAGTTTGGTTGAGTTTAAGCTAATTGTGTTGGAGGAAAGTTCAGTTGAGTTCAAGCTAATTGTGTTGGAGGAAAGTTTGGTTGAGTTCGAGCTAATTGTGTTGGAGGAAAGTTTGATTGAGTTCAAGCTAATTGTGTTGGAGGAAAGTTTGGTTGAGTTCAAGCTAATTCTGTTGGAGGAAAGTTTAGTTGAGATCAAGCTAATTGTGTTGGAGGAAAGTTTGGTTGAGATCAAGCTAATTGTGTTGGAGGAAAGTTTGGTTGAGTTCAAGCTAATTGTGAAAAATGAAAACATGAAAAAAATCTCTGATTTGTTTTTTTACCTAAATCAGGAATTTCTGTGTCTAAAGTTTCGTCTGCGCCACCGTGCTTCGTCGCCTGAAACCAAATAATTGATCTCAAATGCTATAATTGTGATTATGACGTTCTTCAATCTTCATGTTAATTTTCAAAATTCATAAAACATCTTTATTTATAAATAAATATGGTAATTACAGTTTAAAAAGGAAATTAAAAAAATATAATTTATATTTAATATGATCAAGTGATTAATATTAGTCAAGTGAAACTTGACTAAATTCGATATTAAAGCATTGATTAATGATTGATCAATTGATTTCAACTGATTGATAAGTCATGTGTTTTATCAATTGATCTTAAATAATCGATTTTTTAAGAGCTTGATAAATTGATCTTAAATAATTGATTTTTCAAGATTATTATCAATTGATCTTAAATAATTGTTTTTTAACGAGTTTGGTCGATGATATTTTTGATTGAATAATCAAGTGTTTGATCAATTGATATAATAGATAAATCGAGTGTTTTGATCAAGTGATATTAAATAATTGTTTAATAAAATGTTTGATAAATCGATTGTTTGATCAAATGATTTTAATCGATCAATTGAGAGATCATAACCTGGAGATCAGGGGTTGAGTTGAACTGAGAGTGAAGTAAAACATTGCCTGGAAAAAATGTATTCGTATTAACATTTAACAAAAAATCTGAAAATCTCAACTTTTTGTAAATATTGAACCAAGGAAAGCTTTTAAAGGCTTTTTATCTCAAATCTTATCTTTATTTGACTGATGTGAAAAGTTTAAGTTTAAATATAAAAATAAAATTTCATATCTTTCAAAGATATTTTGCATACAATTTACCTTTTTTATGTTTCTTCATTTGAGCAACACTGGAGAAATTTCGGACAGTTACAAGGGGACTTGAACTGGTTGAACTAACCTCCTAGATAGATAGATAGATAGTTAGATAGATGGATATATACAATATACATTATACATAGATCAATTGATTGACACTTGGTTGTCAAATGTCAAGTTAGGCACTTAATTAACAAGTTAGTAACTTTATTTCAAAGTTAGACACTATAATACAAAGTAAGACTTAGTATTGCCAAATTAGACAATTTATTATCCAGTTAGACACTTAGTTACCAAGTAAAACACTTAGTTATCAAGTAAGACACTTAGTTATCAAGTAAGACACTTAGTTACCAAGTAAGACACTTAGTTACCAAGTAAGACACTTAGTTACCAGGTGAGACACTTAGTTACAAAGTAAGACACTTAGTTACCAAGTAAGACACTTAGTTACCAAGTAAAACACTTAGTTACCAAGTAAGACACTTGATTGCCAAATAAAACTTAATTTCCAAGTTGGTTACTTTGTATTTGACAAAGTGGTTGCCAGATTAGACACTGTTTTAGACAAATCAGACAAGTGGTTGCCAGATTAGACACTGTTTTAGAGAAATCAGACAATTCATTGAAAGTTTCACTTGATAATTACCTTGGAAACTCCTGCAGTAAGTCCTGAGTTTCGTCTGAAGATAAGTTCCAACTCACGAGCAAATAGTTTAGTAGAACCATCTCCACCATCAGCTTTCATCTTAAGAAAACAAGGAAAATTAGTTTTTGTTGTGTGTCTAACTGTAAAAGTGTTTGTGTCTAACTGTAACAATGTTTGTGTCTAACTGTAATAGTCTTTTAGTCTGTCTGTTAAAGTGTTTGTGCGTCTGTCTGTTAAGAGTATAAGTCTGTTGGTAAGAGTGTTTGTGTGTCTGTTTGTGTCTGTACCTGGTTTAAAGCATCCTCAGATTTAGCCTCAGACAGGAGACTGGGATCTTTCTCTCGGATAGCAGCACTACACAACATAGATATATAGATAGCAGCACTACACAACATAGATAGATAGATAGCAGCACTTCACAACATAGATAGATAGATAGCAGCACTACACAACATAGATAGATAGCAGCACTACACAACATAGATAGATATATATCAGCACTACACAACATAAATAGATATAGATAGCAGCACTACACAACATAGATGAATAAATAGATAAGATCACTAAACAACATAGATAGATAGATAGATAGCAGTAATACACAACATAGATATATAGATAGATAGCAGCACTACACCACATATATAGATAGATAGCAGCACTACAAAACATAGATAGATAAATAGATAGCAGTAATACACAACATAGATAGATAGATAGCAGCACTACACAACATAGATAAGATAGCAGCACTTCACAACATAGATAGATAGATAGCAGCACTACACAACATAGATAGATAGCAGCACTACACAACATAGATAGATATATATCAGCACTACACAACATAAATAGATATAGATAGCAGCACTACACAACATAGATGAATAAATAGATAAGATCACTAAACAACATACATAGATAGATAGATAGCAGTACTACACAACATAGATAGATAGATAGCAGCACTACACAACATAGATAGATAGATAGCAGCACTACAAAACATAGATAAATAGATAGATAGCAACACTACACAACATAGATAGATAGATAGCAGTACTACACAGCATAGATAGATAGATAGCAGCACTACACAACATAGATATATAGATAGCAGCACTACACAGCATAAATAGATAGATAGCAGTACTACACAACATAGATAGATAGATAGATAGAAGGACTACACAACATAGATAGATAGATAGAAGCACTACACAACATAGATAAATAGATAGATAGCAGCACTACACAACATAGATAGATAGATAGCAGCACTACACAACATAGATTAATAGATAGATAGCAGTACTATACAGCATAGATAGATAGATAGCAGTACTACACAACATAGATAGATAGATAGATAGCAGCACTACAAAACATAGATAAATAGATAGATAGCAGCACTACACAACATAGATAGATAGATAGCAGTACTACACAACATAGATAAATAGATAGCAGTACTACACAGCAAAGATAGATAGATAGCAGTACTGCACAACAGAAAGATATATAGCAGTACTACACAACATAGAAAAATAGATAGATAGCAGTACTACACAGCATAGATAGATAGATAGCAGCACTACACAACATAGATATATAGATAGCAGCACTACACAACGTAGATAGATAGAAGTACTATACAACAAGATATATAGATAGCAGTACTACACAACATAGATAGATAGATAGAAGGACTAAGCAACATAGATAGATAGATAGCAGCACTACACAACATAGATAAATAGATAGATAGCAGTACTACACAGCATAGATAGATAATAGCAGCACTACACAACATAGATAGATAGATAGCAGCACTACACAACATAGATATATAGATAGCAGCACTACACAACGTAGATAGATAGAAGTACTATACAACATAGATAGATAGATAGCAGCACTACACAACATAGATAGATAGATAGAAGCACTACACAAAATAGATAGATAGATAGCAGTACTACACAGCATAAATAGATAGATAGCAGTACCACACAGTATAAATAGATAGATAGAAACAACATAGATAGAAAGATAGATATCAGCACTACACAAAATATATAGATAGACAGCAGTACAACACAACATAGATAGATAGATAGATAGCAGCACTACATAACATAGATAAATAGATAGATAGCAGCACTACACAACATAGATAGATAGATAGATAGCAGCACTACACAACATAGATATATATATAGCAGTACTACACAACATAGATAGATAGATAGAAGCACTACACAACATAGATAGAAAGATAGATATCAGCACTACACAATATATATAGATAGACAGCAGTACTGCACAACATAGATAGATAGCAGTACTACACAACATAGATAGATAGATAGCAGTACTACACAACATAGATAGATAGATAGCAGTACTACACAACATTATAGATAGATAGATATCAGCACTACACAACATAGATAGAAAGATAGATATCAGCACTACACAACATAGATAGATAGCAGTACTACACAACATAGATATATAGCAGCACTACACAACATAGATAGATAGATAGCAGCACTACACAACATAGATAGAAAGATAGATTGGTTGATGGGTAAATGGTTAGATTGATGGATAAATACATAGATACAGTTAAACCCTAAATGAGCCGTACATCGAAAGAATTTATCAAATGTCGTTTTGCCATTTTTTCAATGGGTTTTATTCTATTTTATTTACATCTCAGTATTTGTGAGAATAAATATATAGCCATGAATATGCGGGAACAGTTTTAAAGAGCTCCATATAATCATTTAATTAAAAAACTAAACATTCCATTATCAGAAAGTGAAGAATACGGCATTTGATAAATTCTTTCGATGTAATGCTTACTTAGGGTTTATCTGTAGATAAAGATATAGATGGAAAAATATATAGAACAAAAAGAGACTGATTGCGCCAGGGCTAGGACGCTATCAATTCTTAATAATTCATTTTAACCTGAGAAATAGTCATTTGGAAAAATGAGTTTGTAAAGTTACAAAAGTGTTTAATCAAAAATCTCACCTGAGTGTATCCATAGCGGCGAGATTAGCCACCATACTCTTAGCTCTAGCCCGTCCTACACTAAGGGTAGTGGCGGGGTCCCGCCGTGGCGGAGGCGGGGGGTGCTGGAGAGGTGTCCTGCCCCCTGGTTTCCTAGGTAGGGTGGAGAACCCCCTCGGTGTTGGCAGGGTAGAGGAGAAGTTCTTAGCTCCGTATTCTGCAGTTACGGTCAATACGTTCAGCTGAACCAGGTCACCAGACTTCCTGGATACAATATATACATAGATAAATAGATAGATAGATAGAAAGATCGATAGATAGATAGATAGATAAATAGATAAATAGATAGAGAGATAGATAGAAAAATAGATAGAAAGCTAGAAAGAGATGAGGAAAAATAGATCTAAATTGGTAAAATGCTTAAAATGAAGGAAAGATGTAAAATAAGGTTTAAACTGGATTTACTTTCTCTAGAGAACCAATAGAAAATATTATAAAGTAATAAGGACAATTCGTCTGTAATTCTTGGAAAAGGGGACAAATGCTCTTTGCCCCCCCGCCCCCCTTTTAAAAGGAATCTAACGAATAGGTGATTGACGCAAACCAATAGAAAACTTGAAGTTTCAAAACTAGCGGCAAATTGAGGGAATATTTATTTAAGAGACCAAACTTTTAAGATTATTATTTGTGTAGTTAAGGAACTAATTAAATTATGTTAATTACTAGCTTTGTATTGATTAATTACTCCTCTATATACATCCAAGATAAAACTGTACTGGATAGGGGTCTGTAGACGTATGCCCTAGTGGGAAGTAATCCCCCCCCCCCTGTCAGAACAAGTTTCGTAGTCATAAGGAGGGGGTAATATTGGACTGGTGCAGCTAAAAGGGGGGTTAAACAAATTGTTCTCATAATTTTTTAAATAACTAATTTTAATAATTTAATCTCCAATACACCACGAAAATATAAAATAATTGATTAAAGTGTATATTTACTTAAAAACACAAAGCACAGCAAATTTATTTCAGTTCATAACCTGACTGGAGTGGCACCTATCGGTGTCTTTTAAAACTAGAAGTTGCGGAAGTACACTGGTTTGGACTTGTGGATTTTTATGAACGTTTTCCGCACATTTGTTAATTAAATTCAAACAAATGCAATGCTAGATTGAATTCAGTGTTTTCAATCATCTTATTCAATTCCTTTGATTTGTGATGAGCTATATAGTATCTCAAAGAGTATACAACTTTTTATGGAAGGTTCAAACTTTTTATTTTGTAAATTATAAAAAATGGATTGATCAAGGTGTTAAGGATGAGACAGTGATGAATAACTCTTAAGTTCAGGGGTTCCTATAATAATTATCAATAAAAAATATTCAATTACCTAATTAGATTGACGACAGTCTCATGGCTGGCAGTCGTTACATCTTCATTATTGATGGCGAGCAGAAAGTCCCCCTGTGGTGCACCATTTTTATCAATTTTACGTTCATACCGTTTAATTTTCTACAGGTCTAATTAAATTAAATTAAATAATAATTAACCACACCAGGGCTGGACACTCATGTATTTTGGATATCAATGCTTAATCTCGACCTTTTGTTAATCTGCAGATAAAATTAATCATTATTCAATACCCGCACGGAAATTGTATCCTTGACGATCTTAAATTTAAAGTGTCCACCTTGGATATTGAGATCAGCGATCGGGATTTTGAGCATCTGCAGCACAAAAAAATCCCAGCTTAGAACAAAAAAACAGACCTAAGGGACGTCCCCAATTTCCACACTCCGCTCTTGAATGAAGACTGGAGTAACCAGTCAGGCCATATTTATAACTTTTCCTTGCACATCCAATTTGTTTCCTTAGTATGTACAAAGATCAAGAACTAACTAAAAATCGCAAACCCTATTAAATGCATTTATTGTTAAAGATACAAATGGAGTAAACACGTTTATTGCGGGTGGGATACATTATGCGTAGCCCTGAAGAAAAATGCGTAATGCTTATATGTACTTCTTTGACAAGATTGCTTTAGCAAAGGCGGCAAAGCGTGTGTAGTTTGAACCCATAGCATGGTTGCATAAAGCTTTATGTTCACTTTAAACACAGCGTTAAGAGCACTGTTTACGGACCTTTCTTATACATTTACAATGAATAAACTTTTCAGTGATTTATGGGGCGCTTAGGGTTTCTGCAACATTAAAAATCCGGGAGGTGGAGGGGGTGTTTGATAAAAACTTTCCTTTTTGATTCCGGCCATATCGGCCACGCCCCCAGGGTCCACATCATCCATGTACTGGAGGGAGGGGCACTTGTGGGAGGGGATCATGTCCATGAGGGGGCTCGCAGCCTTGGCCCCCCTCAACACAAATCCAAATCCTTTTCTGCCCTTGTGAAGAACACATTGTCTTGGTAGTCCTAAAACATAATATATTAACGTAACAATTTAATTTAATATTTCATTTAATCATTCATACAATCATATATCAATTCAGTAATTCATTTTTATCAATAACATTCAGTTCATAGTCATTTATTTTCCCATCATTCATTTAACAATTCATCTATTCATCCTGTCATTTAGCCATTCATCTATCTTTAAACTGGGTAATTTACTAATTAGGTTTTTATTTTATCTTTTTTATTAATCACAACAATTTATATTACTCTAAATCCAACCTGTGACAAATGTGACACCAGATTTAGTAGCTGTTCCAAAATGTTTCATTATTTCTCCCTCTCTCCTTCCACCAACTCTAGGTGATACTTCAACACTTCTAGGAGACATCTCAACACTTCTAGGAGACACATCGTTCTCCTTGATAACCTCCTTATTGTTAGCATGACTCCTGAATCTGACCTCCTGAACGAGGTGGCGAGGAAGGAGCCCGGTCCGACCCCTGAGAACTCCTTCCAGGAGTCCTGAATCAGTACTCCCGACAACTTCGATCACATCGCCTGAAACAAGAAAAATACAAGAAAAATACGATAAAATAAATTTACAGTTGCCAAAAAAGGTGAAAAATGTGGGCTGTTTAAAACCATCTATGTATATAAAGTTGTAATCTCTGATTGTCTGTTTGTTTGTCCGAACATAATTCAGGAACCCATTGACCGATTTGCCTCAAATTTTGATTGGAGAACTTGGGAGGAGATCCACGGGAATGATTTTAAGTTAAGTGGGTCGACTTAAATGGCAAAAATTTATTATACCGGTAAAATCGTTCAAGTGCGGGTAAACGGCGGGAGTAACTTATAGTAAACTTGGCAGCGTTGGGTTCCCAAGCTAGTTTTCATATGAACTTTCAAAGATCAACATTTAAAGGGGCTGTAACCGTTAGTGCCCCGCCATGCAAAGATGGGCATGTCCGATTTACAACAGTACCATTTTACATGAGAAATGAAGCAACGAAGACCTGGAAAGAAAAGGTTCTAATATATTTTTAGAATGAGGGGAAAGCGATAAAAAAGGGAAAAATTAGAAAGTTGAGGAAAACTAAATTAGAAAGTTGAGGAAAACTAAATTAGAAAGTTGAGGAAAACTAAATTAGAAAGTTGAGGAAAACTAAATTAGAAAGTTGAGGAAAACTAAATTAGAAAGTTGAGGAAAACTAAATTAGAAAGTTGAGGAAAACTAAATTAGAAAGTTGAGGAAAACTAAATTAGAAAGTTGAGGAAAACTAAATTAGAAAGTTGAGGAAAACTAAATTAGAAAGTTGAGGAAAACTAAATTAGAAAGTTGAGGAAAACTAAATTAGAAAGTTGAGGAAAACTAAATTAGAAAGTTGAGGAAAACTAAATTAGAAAGTTGAGGAAAACTAAATTAGAAAGTTGAGGAAAACTAAATTAGAAAGTTGAGGAAAACTAAATTAGAAAGTTGAGGAAAACTAAATTAGAAAGTTGAGGAAAACTAAATTAGAAAGTTGAGGAAAACTAAATTAGAAAGTTGAGGAAAACTAAATTAGAAAGTTGAGGAAAACTAAATTAGAAAGTTGAGGAAAACTAAATTAGAAAGTTGAGGAAAACTAAATTAGAAAGTTGAGGAAAACTAAATTAGAAAGTTGAGGAAAACTAAATTAGAAAGTTGAGGAAAACTAAATTAGAAAGTTGAGGAAAACTAAATTAGAAAGTTGAGGAAAACTAAATTAGAAAGTTGAGGAAAACTAAATTAGAAAGTTGAGGAAAACTAAATTAGAAAGTTGAGGAAAACTAAATTANTATAATAGATAGATAGATAGATATATATTTGACTAAATATTTAATTAAAAACAATTTAAATTGAATTTTTACATTTCAATTTAGCCAGGGCCTCTCTAACCATTGTTGGTTGTTTTGAATGAGAGGCCCTTCTGCAGCGATACATACATTTTCAATTTAAATAAAACCAAATAAAACAAAAACAATTTAGAACTAAAGGAAAATGAGGAAAATGAAAAGTAGTAGATAGAGGAAAGGTATTGAAGAATAGAGAGGAAAAGAAGAAGAAAGGATCGTAGGGGGGAGGGGGGACAACCTAGCACACAAAGTTTATAATGTTTATGTTTTATTTTGTAGGTAGGTAGGTAGGTAGGTAGGTAGGATGAGAAACTATTGATGGATTGACTGACAAGACACCATTTAGTAAAAAAAAACTCTGATGATACTGAACAGGTAAACAGGAATATCAGAGGCGTACTCGGGGGGGGGCTATAGGGGTTTACCCCCCCCCCTTAATCAGCGAAATATCATTTTACATGTTTTTTTTGGGCCCCCATGGGTGCTGAGTCCCCCCCCTCCAGGAAAAATAACTGAGTACGCCCCTGATAGGAATACCAGCAGATCCAAGGAAATACATGTTTTACATAATAATCTAGATAAGCGTTTTCCGTTACACATGAGAAGTTAAGAATGCCAGGCGGTCGTCTTCTTGAATTAAGAACCACCTACAATCTTTAGAATATGTTGCGGCATTTTTTATTTAAAAAAGAAATATTGAGCAAACCCAAAAGTGAGAAAAAAAACGAAAATTTTCATTAATTTAATCCCCGAAAAGTTAAATTTTTTAAAATTTGTTGCTAGGAAATATTTTGGGAACTTAACACTTTTCTCAAACTCTTATTTTCTAATGCATATAATATCTTTGCAATGTTGTTAATTGTTTAAACCTTGAGTATTTAAAACTTAGACCAGAGGTTTAGAAAATTATATTCTGAGGCAAGTGTTCAGTTACCAGGAATTTTGATGAGGAAAAAACTGATTTTTTGATAAAGAAAAAAATCTAAAAACCTGTTGATTACTTGATAAATGAAAAAGGGTGTTAAAACTACGTGGGCTTGTAACACCTGGGGTTAAAGAGTGTAAAAAGTTCAAGGACAGATTTTAACTAGAATGACAAAAACAATGGATTCAAAACAAAAAAAAGTTGAAACTGTCTTCATTACGAGAAGTATAAACAAATAAGCAAACATGAAACAATCTTCATAAAAACATAAATCTATAACGTCACATTCATAAAAGCAGCAACAAGAATGTCTATTTTGGTCTTTTCAACCAATCTAAAAATGTGCATTGAAAATTTTGATAACCCCTTTTTAAATTTTAAATTTATTATTTTTTCAGATTTGTTTTGCTACCCTTAGCAGCAAAAATAATAACATTTCATTAAATAGTTTAGAACCTCCCCCCCCNCCCATAATGCAAGCAAACCACAATGTCATCCATTAAAACAAAATAAAACAGAACCAAAAACAAAATAAAAACAAGACTCATAACTTGGCTGTAAACTTTAACGGGAATAGAGTTGCAAAAAATGTCATTGTCCCTTTTTACTACAGTAGTAGGCAATTATACCAATACAATGAAGACGACTTTCGAATTAAATTTTAATTAAAATTACACTTTTAAACAGCATGGGGATACACAAGAACATAGAAGTCAAGAGAATTTACCACCGTAGAACACTGGCTAGTGGCTTTACGGACACCTTAAGCAAAAGCGAAGACAATGTTAAAGATAAGTTTGCGGCATTAAGATTTTGTTTCGTCAGCTGACAGACTTAAGGTATTTATAATTTAGTCAAATCAAAATAAAAGTTTTATCATTATACTAATTTATCTTAATTCCTTTCTCTTTCTTTTACGATTCAATTTATTAGTCATTGTTTCTACGATTATGTCAATATAATTAATACGACTTTTTTATTTAAATTTTAATTGTTAGTTACAAGATTTAACCAATTAAAGAGGAGCTTTTTTAATTGACAGCTTCTCTTTGTTTCCATGATTTTGAGTATCCATGCTGTTTAAAAGCTTGAAATAAATCAAAATTAAAATCGGAAGTCGTCTTTATTATATTGATATAATCGCCTTCCACCGTATTAAATTTAAAAGTCAATAAGTCCATTAAATTTCAAACAGTTTTAGACACTTTTTTAGTAATACACATTACACAACCTATTTGGGACTAAGCCGGTTCTTTAGGTCGTAACTTATGAATAATCTAGCTTTTAAGATATAGAGTTATACACCTCTCTTATCATTGTAATCTGTATCCCCCCCCCCCCCCCCCCCCGCCAATTTTCATGTGAATTCGAAGGGACTGTATTCAAACCTTAATTTACCACTAGCCAATAACCAAGTATTTGTTTTAAAGAGTGCCATGCCCCCTTTCTCAACGGCCCCCTTAAAACTTTTGTTTGATAAATAGATAAATGAAATATTCTTATATTTCCTTCAGGAAATGAACTAATTTCTATTGTAGCTTCTCCATAAAAGTGACTTGAAACTTGACATAAGATTATCACAATAACAAACTACTGAACACAGATAACGTTCTTTATTGGACATACCAAAAGGTACACACTTGAAAATACGCCAACAGTCCCTTTAAAAAAAAGAAACATGTCTTGTGGATAAAAATTTGTTTAACTCACTTTAACCTTTTCTGGTAAAAAAAATTAAGCGCAATTTGTTTTTACTTGTAGTATAAAAAATACATTTAAATTAGTAAGATAATTTAAAGTTTACTTTTATTAACGTAACAAACCATAAATAATTCAAAGTTTTTTCAAGTAAATTGTCATCATCAGAGTGAAGTTAATCGCGTGGAAAAAAAACACTAATTAAATGGACCGTTCACCCTTTTCAAGAAGAACCTCCATTTTAGAAACAAAACTGAGCTTTAAGATGTCCTTTGCTTAGGGTTAGAACACACGGAAATTATTTTATTATGAAAACGTAAGCTGCGGACCCCTACCCCGAAGAAGCTGGGGGGAGGGGGGGGGGGTTGAGGTAAATTGAACTATTAAATGGCTTATCATTATGTAACCGGGATTCTGTTGGGCTCGGGAAAGAAAATAAAAATAAAGCCAGGATATAAAAGGATATAAAAGTTAAATGAAGGTTTATATTTTATGTCTTAAATTCAAGAATTCTTGCAGAGAATTTGAATACTTTTAGACAAATCCACAAAACATGTTTTTGAGAAAAACATAAAATTTTGTTTCGTGTCTTGTCTTGTTTCTAACACTTTTCAACGTTAAAATTTCAAATTTTTTATTGTAAATGGTTTTCAAATATTTAAAGGAAAAGGAACTGTTTATAATTTTACAGTTCTATCCCAAAAAACCTTGTTTTGAAATCCATCACACACCAAACAGACAGAAGGAGAAGGTAACATGTATGAACTTGTGACCTCGTAGCTCCGCTAGTCTTAAGTTTAAGTATGGGAAAAACTGATTTATTCGGTTATTATGATTGGAAACACGTAATATTTCATTCTTACGTAGAATTGACGGATCACGTGATTAAGGATGAGCTTGATGAAAATATAAAATAGTATCAATGTATCCCCCATATTTGTGAAATTTTTTACTTTACTTCGGATATTTTCCGACCAATGTGATAATATGTGACCAGGAGCAAAAACACAAGATCCAGGGGTTTGACATAAAACTGGAGTAAAGATGGTCACTAAGTGACCACTGTTGAAAAAAACTGCCCTCCCCCTCTCCTGTAGTCTCTTCCTTGTCAATTGAAGGATCACTTTTTTACTAGAGATAGAGGGTAGATTTGGAAAACACAAGAAAAAAGGGTGTCCAAGAAAAAATGTTTATATGACACCTTCTGTGTAAGCTTTGATTTATGATTAGTTTTTACACTTCACTTCACGACTTACTGGGTCATGTAAAAGGAAGGAGGTGAGGAGGGGATGGGGGAGGGGGGTAAGGATA